GGTATCCAGGGTACCCAGGGTAGGGTATGGAAAGCAGACTTCACCAGAGTCTCTTTCCATTACATTTGCATGAGTGTTGTACGTATGGATATTTTAAGGAATGTAAGTCCATATCAGGGGGTGGGGACTCAAGAGGGCGCAGCCTCCTTGTTAAAATATTCGAAAAAAGTTGGATCTCAGCTCCCTCATCATTTGTGCTTGAATACACCGAGGAATCATCTAAAACCACAGGTCAGCCAATGATGCCTAAACCGAAAAAACATATTGCAAAAAGCTTTATATGCATGAAAATACACGAAGTTTGACTGTTTATAGGTAGAAAATTCTTGAAAGATTTCTTTCTGTGTATGTTTTGGTGCAGTTTTGTATATACAGTTGGTTTCTTATTGTTGCATCTAGAAATGGGGTTTATTATCTGAATCAACAAACAATTATTTGACCCTGTCTTGCCTACTTTTAATATTTGATGCACTACACTCCATTTTGTAAGAACTAGATAAATTTTTCCAACGCTCGATGTTCTCATTTTTTGGATAAATGAAGGCTCGGCAGGGGGCGGAAACACTCGAGTCGGAGTCGGTTGAGTCGGGGATTTGGCTCGAAATTTTTTATCCACCAGCTACCCCTTAAATCGTTTAAGTCGCCATCAATCTTGACAAATTCACATTAAACATATATTCACTACACGCTATTTATAAAATGTCCAACTTCAAAACCCTGGTCCTAAATTTCCTAATTTCTTGATCTCTATAAGTCGAATTGCTTTACCAAGATATCCATAATAGCTTCTTAATTTTAACTGCACATTCAGTGAAATGAAATAGCGTAGATACAAGAAAAAGAGAAATTCTGAGTTTTGCTTATACTGTATCTAGAAAACAAGGCCAAAAGACAAAGAGGGCAAGAAATAAATTAATTTGCGTAAAAGTACTAGCTACATCAATAAAGAAGTACCTTTGCGTTTAATATAGAGAAAGGCAATCATTACACTCTTTATTATAAGAATGTAATAAATTTTATCCAGCCTCGATATTTAAGAAAATTTTGTTTTGAGCCCGAATGTGTTCTTAGATACATCCTTTTTTCAAATCCGGTATGGTTTTAGGAAAGAATCGCTTGCTCCCGGATAGAAAACACACATTTTGAAAAAGCGGAAAATGTCAGTATTGCGATTCTCTGTTTCAAATATTGCAAAAAAGCAACTTCTGCAAAATGTGCCCTCCACGCCAAAGGTCACCTTTTTTTTCTTTCCCCAAGGTCTGTCACTAGAGTTTAAGCATGACTCCAATCCCCCCCCCCCCTATTTCTACCAGAAATAATAATCTGTATTTTTCTGAGAAGCGTCGATTTTTCTATCTTGAATGTTTTGTAAAACTTGGTCTGGGAGATGCTTTTCCAAATCTAAAAATCTTGATTTCGTTTTTTAAGTCGTTTGCCCCATGAAACTGTTTCCATAACACATACCATAAATTGCTTGTTGGTGCCATGACCAACTGCACACTTTTAATTCATTCTCTCTGCTGACCCCCCCATTGACATGACAGATTTACGGCCCTGCATAAAATCTGATATTTCGTGCTATATGTATGTAATATTCAAATGGCATGCGGAGAAGACAAGCATGGAAAGGTGCACTGAATGGAAAGGGAAACTTAAATCGTTTTAGAGAGCCTGGTCCAAACAATATCCCTCGTTCATTTTCTCCCGTCATTTTGCCTTCTCGAGACGTCAAGCCATTTCTACGTGGCTGGCTGTTGCTCTGATTGCTCACCAGATAGAACCCCAAATTTTCCATTTAACTATATTCATCTCTGGAAAATCCAGTCAGGCACGAAGCCAGCACTAAAAAGTTTGGCGGGCAACAGGGGCGAAGCCAAACAAATTTTTCGGAGGGGTAGTATTGCCTTTTGCCAACAAAAAGTGTCTCACTCTTTTTGGGTGTGGTCATAAAATACGTAACCTTATATGCTACTTTTATGTGTTTCTAACTTATTATTCAGAATTCTAAAATTTCAATTTGTATTTTTAGTGCATACTTTGAAATTTTAGCTGCTACAGAAATTTTAGCCCGTTACAATTGTTTCAGAATGATTATAGTTCTCCACTGGGGATTAGAAACGCAAACATATGAAGAGAAGTCTTGCTTTATATTACTTTTTCACAGAATAAATAAAAAAACTAACTGTAGAAGGGAACTAAGCCATAATGATATGTGCAACAGAGCTTTGTCATTTCTTCTACTTGAAAGAGAGTTTTCAGGGTTTTAGCTCCCAAAAAAAAGTCATCAAACCGCAATGCTATCAATAATTATCGTTCAAAATGAACATAGCCTTTTCCAAGAGAAATTAGTTCTGGGGGCAAACCTTTGTTTATATAAAAAAGAGACAATAGCCTATTGTTTAAAACAATGGAAAGCCACTTGGGCTGCAAGAGGCAAGGCAACTGCCCTGTAGAAAGTATGTTAAAAAGGCCTCGTTTTGCAGCTTGGCGCCTTCGTTGAAAGCATCTACCTCGCTTAGTGCCGAAAAAAAGCACTCATAGCAGGCTGCTCGACATTGAACTGTGTGGACTGATGCACAGTCGATATTGGCTTTTACCATAAATACACAGATGCATAGACTTTGTTGATATCAGTTTTTCGACAGTCATGTAAACAAAACATGCTATTTCTAAATTTTGAGACAAAACATGTTTTGATCCTAAAATTTTTAGACGGGCACAGAGGGGCAATAAATTCTAGCTGGGCGGGTAATGCCCCCCGCGCCCCTCCTTGGCTTCTTGCCTGAATCCAGTCGAGTCTGTGCGCAGGCCATGAGCGAGGCTATTTGGCTTGGCGCAAGGCAATGTTAGCTCTCAGTCAATCGTGAAATTAGTCTATATCACCCAGAGACGCCTACACAAGATTAGGGCAGGAGGGGCAGTGTTGGTGCTGAGGGCAAATCGTAGAATTTTTCTACTAACATGGTCGAGTATTCCTGGTTAGAGAGGGTGGGGTAACATAACAAAATATTAAAATGCATATGTGACGACCATACAGCTGAATTTTTCTACCATCAATGATTGCAAATACTGTTTTATCCATCTTTGGTTTCTGGAGTACTTCTGAGGGAACAGGTCTCTTGTTTATCTACTATTATCTTTGCCGCTCTCCCTCTTTTTACCGACCTTGCTACAGGCAGCCTTTTCAACCTTTTTGTTTTTGTGCTGGTTTTATCATTTTTCTAATATTTTCTAATAGAAATTAACATAACGAGTGCGGTCAAAGTAATCATCAATAATCAATAAGATTCTGTAGTATTTTCTTATATTTCAGGGCACTTCTAGCCCCCTCTGCCCCTCTTCGAAGAGGGCAGGAGGGGCAGCTGCCCCTCCAGCCCTCCCGGTGTAGGCGCCCCTGATATCACCTCATTGGTCTATATAAAAAGATTCATCGTTTTTTGACAGTCATGCCCCCAATTTACACCGTTTAAAAATTCAGCTTTTTCTATACATTTCAATAGAATTTACTGCTGCAGTAGAAACATTTCACCGCAACAAACAAATCTGATCCGGGGGAATTAATATGGTATGCAAGATCACCTATTTTCCATAGCGCAGTATGTTTCTAAACATTTTTTGGAATCTACTGCTGGGAAAATGTACGGTCAAGATTTAAAGAAATTTATGCTTAGTGACAAGTTAAGTCGAAAACAGGAAAATTTGCAAACAAGAAACAGCTCATTCGTGACTTTTATTGCATTCCTGCTGTGAAAATCATGCACATTTTACGTTTCTTCCTAGATTCTGTCATCATGCAATGGTTGTATCATTGTTCTGAAACATATCGTAATTCGCATGTTGTCAAACGCACCCTGTGACTAATAATTGCGCAAATGTGTTTCACCCGTGGTGGATTCTGACCTTCCTTGTTGCCCAAGGCCGGAAAAAATAAGGTGCAACGTACATTGCCTCAACTGAAACATTGTGTATATTTATGCAGCGCGCAATAAGCAAATAATTAGAAAAGGTATGGAGAATAAAGGAATGAATGAAGAAAATTCTTACGGGAACCTGTTTGAAAGCGCGTATGTGCAGATGGGAGGCAATGTGCCTCTTAGCAGCGAATACTTAGAAATCGACGATGCTCAAGACTTGATCAAAACTCCAAAGGTTACCATGGCTTATATGGACGTCGAAGTAATCGCTGACGCTGCCTATGCAAATATGCCACCACTGCCTACACCAACAAGGGAATCAGCCAATCGTCAAAAATCTTTGCCGAATGATAATAAAACCAAAGAGTATTTAGACGACCAAAATGATGCCAGTTCTACTTACGCTAATGTGGACAGTCCACCAACGACCCCGACATCTAGAGGCCGCCCAAGTTTACTTGTATCCCCGCCAATTGAAGACAAAAAGAGAGGTTCTAGCAAAAGCAAAATGAATAAAACCAGTTTCACAAATAAAAATGGGCCAGAATACGAGTCAGCCGAGCCTCCCTCACTCAAGAAAAGCGAACAAATGACAAATCCATACTCTTATGCAGCCCCCGATTTTGGGACCTTGCCGGTGTCCGGTTTGAATTTTAAGGTGCCGGTGCCCAGAAAAAGCTGTCTTTCTGATCGCTCTAAGGCAAAAACAATCCCTGCGAATGGTGCAGACTGGTCAGTGAATCGAGATGATAATGCTGCTTTAGAGGATCGAGATAATAATGATTTAAGTCCAAAAGTCGATAATCACAGGGGTTCCCATAAAACTAGTGCTACTGTGTCCTTTATTGAAAGAAAAGAAGGAGAACTGACAATCAAGAAGGATGATAGCAAGGCTGTAACTGTAAAAACAAAGAAAAGTGGTAAAGAAACAAAAAGAAAACGAAAGAAGGAAAGTAACGAAAACAAGTCAAAAATTCATGTTGAAAATGTGGAGATGATTGATGTTAGTGGGACTTTGGGAACAGGGCTTTCACCCTCCACCTCTATGCGTCAGCTATTCGGTGAGTTATGTACATTCATTTTTCTATAGAAAAACAAAGGTCGACGTTGACTTCTCATTGTTTTAATACTGAGTGTTCCTTAAGATACTCAGTTGTTCTAGAAGAGAGAATGATGTTCTAGAACACGAGCCTCAAAATTGGTCAAAATTTGATCTAAAAATCGAGCAGTTTTAGCCATGTGTGGGTGCTTTTCGGTAAATATTCAAACTTATTGGCAAATGAAGGTTGTCTCACTCACATTGTTGGCAAATGAGATCTGAACACCTCCCTAGAGTGAAAAAGCTAGCAATCGCACTGCTTACACCCTCTTAATTTAAGAACAAACTAAGAACAATCCAGTCTCAGATTTTCGAAAAATTTAAGAACAGTCAGCCTGAACTTAAATTTACTGGTTCTTTTAAAAAAAGAGTGTAAAAGAAGAGAACCTCTGACCCTGTCAATGTCTCCCATTTTTGAATGAAATTCTGAGCTAATCCAATTTTTTTTGCTTTTGAATTCAGTTAGGGTTTTTTTTTAATTTCCGAAAAAACGACTCAACTCTTGCTTATAAGCTGTTTCTGAAAAAAATATGTGTATTCAGATAGTCCGGCAAACTAGGAAATTTTGGGAGTGCAAAATTGCAAGTTTTGAGCTCGCAAACTTTCATTGACAGAAGATGGCTCTGGAACAGGGACACCAAACACATCGAAGAGAAAAGCAAATCTTTCATACGAATTGCGGAGTCTAAAGACTGACAAACCTTCTCCGGATAAATGTAACCACGACGGATCTACATTTCGTGGAAAAAGACAGAAATTTTTCACAGCAGTTCTCCTTGTCCTACTAGTCCTGACATCGGGCATGATCTGTATCCAGTTTCTTAGGATCTTCAAATTCAAGTCCTATGGTTTTGGTAAGAATCTTTGTTGTTTTGTGTTCCATGAATATCATCAGAAACATATGAAGACCTTACTGTCTTTGGACAGTCTGAAATAGTGCAAAGAAAGAAGAAGCTTGAAAGTGTAATACTTACTAGACTTGCAGTGAATTCAGCATTTTACATTTAACATTAATATTCGTTATCAATATTATCAATTGAATTGTTTTCAAATGGGTTTGGCAGATTAACTTTGCTTGGCAAAAGAGAGTAGTCAGTGTGCCCTTGAAATGCTGTTCCCTTTTTTTAATTTTCTGCTTGACAGTTACAAGGGATATCAGCAACAATTACGAGACTGTAATTATGAGACGTTTCCTAAGGCTCCCAGATAATACTAAGTTCTTGTTGTTGTTTTAGGTGGGAACGATGAGCTGAAATCGCTAGAAATGAGAGTAAAATACATGGAACAAACATCGGTAATCCGTTCAGTATTGTTGGCAATAGAATGCTTTGACAATCTGCTTGAATTTCATAGATATCAGAAACCAGGGCCACCGAAAGGTTTCAGAGGCCCTAGGGCAAAACCTGGAGACGCCCCCCTCCTCCCTCAAGGGATTCGAGCGAGCAGAAACTATTTGCCTCCACGCCCTTCAGATTAGCTTAAATGCATTTCAGAATATTTCTTGCAGTCATTTCTTACAATCTCTTTTACAACGTTTTACTACTTTTAGGCATATGCTTGTTACGTTTGCTTAATTTCATTCTTATAATGGATTCCATAAAGGGCCCCCTTAGACAGGGACGGATTTGGCGGGGGAAGGGAGGGGTGTAGGGGGTGCGGCACAGGAGACCCTCCTGTCTATCTCTACAGAATGTTCAACAATTTCCCCTCGTTTTGGGGTTTGTATAAAAAAATCCTTCACGTTTTTGAGACATTTCCGATAAAAAAGAAGCTAAAATGCTAAAGCAATCCAATCCTAAAAAATCTGGATTCTAAAATGCTTGTCGTGGATTTTGCTTAAAGAAGAACGGACTTGGTTTAAAACTTTTTAATACTGTTTATTATTTTTAGATATTTGATTACAATTTTGGAAAATAACATTTTACACGTAGTGTTTCCTCACCTTACACAATACAGGATATAAACTTTAGTGGAATTGTGAAGGAAATATGGTCATTGAATATGGTCAGCCACAAAACGCTACATATGACGTTGTATAAAGGGAATTTGCCACGTCAAAATGTTATAGCTTTTCCAAACGCTTTCACAAAATGGGGTGTTTTCCCAAATTCTTATGGGTGTGGTCAGCAAACATCTTCTCCTCTTTGTCCCACCAATCTTCCAACCCTGGCTACGCCACTCCTTTTTATCGTCTTTACCTTAAAGTTAAAAACCAAATTTCAAAAATAGGCGTTTCCATCATTCACCAGTGACCTGAAGGGTGTGGCACCAAGATTAGTGCCTAACACCCCCCAATCATTGCTGCTTAAATCTGCCCCTGCCCCTAGACCTCGAGGCCATAGGGCAATTTGCCCCCTCCTTGCCCCCCTCTCGTTGGCCCTGGAAATTATTGATGCTGTGGGATTGACTGGGAGGGGAACTCCTTAGTTCTCAACAGGATTAGTTTCATAATCTGTGAAATTGCGAAGAGAGAAAGTTGATAAACAAGTAACACTTTGACTAGGCACACTGTGATTGGATTCTATGGTTTTGGAATTGCCATTGCATACAAAAGGGTAGTAGCGGGTGTTCTTTATAGTTAATTGACCGTTTTCAGACAGATAAATGGGTACGGCCTAACAAATGTTTCTTTTGCGAATGTATCGCACGTTCAATTAATCTATTAAGGGTATCATTGACCTTATCATATGCGAAAAAGAGTATTAGTTATGTTTCATGATCGAATTAATATGACGCAAGCGTCGGTCATAATGAATTAGCTAGCATCAAACCCATTAATGTTTCCATTGACTTTTATCGCGTCGTAGTAAGTCTAAATTTCCAACCTTCTGGACTAAGACCAGAGTTATGTATTCTATTTTGGTCATATAAAACCATTTTTGAATAACAGATGCTCGGCCATCAACCAGGTATTACGAGCTTAGGTTTCACCAGATCTTGATATCAACCGAGGCAAAAGGAATAAATTAAGTGATCTTTGTATCACCTAAAGAGATGATTTGAAGGAATATAAAGTAATAAATACCATTTTGGTGAACTTTGCTTATTGCTTTGTTATAGGCTTCTAGGGCAAGAGACATTGGGTTTCTCAGAAGAAAAATCGAAAATCAAAGATCGTTGGTATGCCCTTAATATAATACAAATATGCTTTTCTACTTTCGCTGAAATGGGCGTCACTGCAAAGGCGTCAAATGGATCGCTTGATTGGATGCGAAAGAAATCATTGCCTTACGTGTCCTTTTCAAATAGAGTCAATAAGGTTGGGATAAAATCTTCAAGAAGGGTAGCTTAACTATATAAATGAAAAGATAATATCTGTGTTAGGAACCAAGCAGTTATAGCAGACTCCTCAATCCAATGCAAGTGTACGAAGAGATTCCCCTTTTTCTATAAATAACTCAAAACATATTATTTGCACTTCAGAATGTAGCTGACCAAAAATTTGTAGGAAGTGCTTATAGATGATTTTTCATTGTTGAAAATGTATGCTTAATACGTTGTACGAATAAGATGTTTTAGGATTTCAATCCATATGCATTGTCCAAAGATAAAACATTCGTTCCGAAGTACCTGAACTGGTTTCAGTATAATAGACTTTGTTTAAATTTGTATCATGGTAATCAACTTATTTGCAATTTTACATCAAACTTTTCTGTTTCAGATTTTGAACTTACAAAATGTGCTTAAGATATACAATATGGTAAGAAATCCGTTCATTAGTTTCATTATCCCTAAACTTGTGGTAATCTGCAAAGCCCAGCATTCAAGTTAGCACTATTGTTTCTCAATTGACGGTTTTTGCTAAAAGTCAAACGCAAGCAAACTTTTAAACCGAGCAGAATTTTTGTTTTTCAGCAATAATTGGAGTAGAATTTTAAAACAATTGTCCAAGAATTTCATCGTCGTTTGTCTTAAATGCATTAATTTTGAACTGTTACCTTGTAACCTTCAAATGACTTTGACTTGTTATCAATATCTTAATACCTTAGACCAATAATTTGACCTCCATGGATGCAAAGATGAGGAGAAGAAGGACTGCAAAGGAATACAGTTCGACCTCACTGGAAGCAAAGGTAAGAAGAATATGGGCTGTGTTGGAACCAAATGTCAGTGCATCTATGCTCTTCATCAAACGCGCTTAAGAGTTTTGATTGTATGGTGAATGCCCTCTAATATTTGAGCTAAAAGTGACTCCAAAGAGTAAAGCTGCGTAAAAATTCTGACAGATTACTTTTTGCATATTGTCTTAGCATATTATTAGCATATTATAGCAGATGCGCTGGCTCCATCTTTGCTTTGTCTTATTGCAACATCCATACACACTCTTTAGAAGAAGATTATTGAAGGTATAAACATACGGATACTAAAAAATACTGCTTTGCAGGTTGATAAAAATTGAAGAGTCTGAAGATAATGGAATGACAAGTCTACCAGCAAAGGTAAAATTATAGAATTATTTTGATTATTATATGTCATTCTCGTCTCCACTGCTCAGTATACGACGGTGGCAAAAATGTGATATAAAATTGCAAACATCAAGCTTATTCCTTGTCTCACAGGAAAGCACAGACATAAAAATTCTACCAAGCCCGCCTAAAAGTACGCGCGAGTACTGTCAACGATGACAGTGGTTTGTACCAAAATATCTACGACGTAGGTTCGCTTCCACTGTACCGATGCTATTTGGGACTGCTACTGTTTGTATTACTTCCACTTTTCAAATATTAGATTTCCTTATATCTTTCTTTCTTTATGATTGAATTCGCTCTCCTGAAACTATAAATTTCCTACGATTTCCTTCCGCACAAGTTTGGTAAAAAGGGCACAGAAAATGCTTGTCCAGATAAGTCACATAGAGGCAGACAGAGATAGAGAAAACATAAGTCAAAGGTAATGCAATGCATTGAACAAACTATTGTGCATTTCGAGAAAACCATATGGTTTAACAACAGAAACATACTCATCAACATAGTTTAACTATCATTTCAAAACGTCTTCCAGTATGGAATCTATATAAATTGCAATGATTTTCAAACGCACCTTTCTTGGTAAAAAGGAAAACTCCTGATTGGTTTTCTATTTGATTAGTATATAAAAAATATACTTAACATATACTAACATAGCTTTTGGAAACCTGTCTGTGCAGACCTGGGCTATGTGGATCTGATTTAGAAGGTAATCTAGTAAAGCATGTCATAATGGGTACATATCTACTCCTTTTTATTGTTTTCTCAAAGATTACAAGCCACATGTCTGAGATCTTGGTTAGAAAGGCATACTCTGAAGGCTTCCTAGTGGGAGAATACTCTGTGCTCCGGTGGAAAAGCCTTAGAACGTCCAAGCGGAACTTCTGTGACACGGGAAACATGGATTATAGATGCTCATCAAAATTTTACCTTTATTGTCTGAAATATCAAGGTGTCAACGATGAAGCCAAAGCCTAAATCTACTTTTCAGAAAACACATTTAGATAAACGTTTTTAATAGTGTTAGGCCTTTTTAATTTGCATTTGTAATCTTAATCTTCTAATGTTTTTTGGAATGAAATGGCTTTCTTTCGTTATTTTTGTTATCCTAATTTTCAAGTTGCAAATTTCAAGATTCAAATCTCAGTTCTCAGTTGTAAATTTTATGATTAAAACTTTTTCTGATTCTGCAAATGTTCATATTTTCAAAGGGAAGAGAGTCTTGTCAGTTTTTGTTGATTAAAAGATACGATAGGCTCAATATCAGTGAAAATAATGGACTTTGCATCCCGAAGAGGATAAGAACAAATGCATAATGTCAAGTGATCTTCAAAAAGTTTCCATATCTTTTGACCCGTTCCTTATTCATGATCTGTCGGTTGCAAAAGACGCCTTTGGAGAAGAGGGAGACATTTTTTATAAACTTATTCTTTCAATAAATATGTATCTAGCAACAATTATAAGCAGTGTAAAACGAATTATATGAAAAATGGATTTAATGCTAGCCATATTGATTATATAGGTAATCGAGTTGTACAGCATTAATTTGTATTCCTTAATGCTATCAGCTATTGACATTTATTCACGTGGAAAGTTAATCATGAGTAAATGACACGCATTTAAAAAAAATTGCTCTTTTGTCGAAATATTTGCTGAAAATTTTGCTGAATTTATCTTGGAACAACTTGCACTAATTTCAATGCCAAGTGACCCAAACTTGAAAACATCCAACGGAACCTTTTTATTGGTAATTTATTAAAAACGGAAATTTATTATTTTTTATAAATCAGAAAATTTCACCAACCCCTAATTTGGGAATGCGTACATTACACGAATGCTTTACGTTTGTTTTGTTGACTTGGTGAAATAAATTGAATATGCCACTAAACAATTTTTGGTAACTCTGCCTCGGACTCGAATCAAGTATTTAGACGCTAAATTCTTCATTTTGAAGAACATTTGCTAAAACATTAGTTTTTATTTCTATTCATACTGTATTATATCCTATTAGAGTTTTCTTAATATTCTTCCAATAAATTTTTATTGCCTTCCAAATTAAAAAAGTGAGCTCTTTTCTCATGGAAATTCTAGACTTGTCTTGTGCAACTTTCATTGCACGTTTTAAATAACTTTCTACAGTTTCAAAAACAGATGTTCGATACATTTAAAGTGCCTTACATAGTTTTAGCGAATATTAATTTAAATTTCTTGGAACATGATAATTTTTATCTGAAGACATTGGCCAGAATGCCAAACTTATATAAAAGTGATCTAGAATCTTCTTTTTATTGATTCTTTTGAAACTGAATGCGAAAAAGATACATTCTTGAATCTCATCTGGCAAAAATATATCTAACTATTGGCTAAAGCTGCAAACTGCAAATGAACCCAAGAAATTAGCTTACACAAGATTTTTTTTCCATGTTTTTGTACCAAGTTGAGTTAAAAGATTGTTGTTGTTTCCCTTGTACCTTTATAGAATAGGCTGTTTATCTCGGCTTGCTGGGTGCGGTTGAAGACAGATTAGAAGTGGATGTAGCATAATCTAACACTGGTTGTAAATGATACTCTCCTTCTACAACTAAATTTGCATCGAAAACTGACAACGCTGTATTTGAACTAGATTTTTGGCAGCTGTTTAAAAAAATCTCTCACCTTTTTCCAAATCATCCCTGATGGGCCCTAAACGCCTGACAAAAAAGAAGATACAGAGTTTCTTCAGATTCTGAAGAGTACCTTAACCTCTCAAAACTTATACTTTATATTTCTTGTCTGGGACGTAAACTGAAAGATAATTTTGCTTTTGTACTTATAATACAACATTCTGTTACAAAGCACTGAAATTGCGATTAAGATTTTCCGATTACTTTTACGTTTGCCGACAAATTCACAACATTTTGAAGATTTAGGGGGCAGTGACAACCCCACACACCCCGGCATTTACGTGCCTGTTTCTTGCCATATACTTGTTTATTTTCGCGTTATTAAAAGCTGCAGATTTGCTGTCATCGAACGAGTCAAATGCAGCCTCGTTTTCAATTTGGACCTAGCAGTCATTAATGTCAACTTCTTCTTGTGTTTTGAATGGTGTCTCATGTTGATACTCTACATCACATTGAAAGCAAATGGTAAGGTCTCAAGTTCAAAAATAAGATAAAGTTATTTATTAACATTTCTGGTAGTAAGTTAGCCCGCCAAGAAACTGTGAAGGTGATGTCTCTTGCCCTTATGAAGGATTCAAGACAAACCAAGATATATAAAAATATCAATGGATTGTAAACTGATAACAAGAGAGAGCAGCTTTTCTAATTGACATGGACGGCTTACAAGACAATCAGGATTCATGAAATAAATGGTCCAAGAACGGTCAAGTTAATGAAATTGACCAATTGAAAGTAGGCCATTGATTTACACAGAAACTAGGCTGGAAAACTTCATATGCTTGCTGCTACGATTGATTTTAGCTCGCACCTCGAACTTACTGTGACCCAAATATCCATGAAGTCATGTATGTTATGCTAAATAAATGTAAATATGGGCATTGTTGCTCGCAGCTCTAATGCTTCAACTGGCAGGTTGAAGCTGATAAAGTGCCGTTGGTGGCACTGATACACCTGCAAAATGATAAATGTTTTGCAACCTTGCACCAAAACATCAAAAACTGTCAAAGACATGATAGACAACCAGACTGGAAACTTTGTTTCATGCACAGCTGAAAACTTGAGACAGTGCATCTAGAATCGTACACTCTTAGTTGTTTTTAGATTTTATATGCAGCCAATGCAGAAGTGTGTGCAGGTAATATATTATAGGCATGCAACAAAGTTTTCAGTCTGGGACAACAAAGGATATGTGATTTTAACTGGTCACATGAAGGAATCATGTGACAGATTTTTGTGGAGATACAATTGGTAAATATTTATAAATGGCCCTGGCCTCTGACCAAAGTATTGTTTTATCTCTCTCTATTGCTTCTAATCCACATTGCAAATGTCTTCAATGAAACTATTGAAGAATTACAACACAGATTGAATATCAACAAAAAAATATACAAATAATTTATTTCTTAAAATATAGAACAAAAAGTCAATGAATGAAATATGAATGGTTGCAATTACAAGTTTGATTATTTTGTGCTGTCCTGCAATCTTTGGTGGATTAAATTTATTTAGCTGATAATTACCAATTGTTATCAACTCATTCAGCTGATAATTACAAATTTATTTGTCACAATTTTTTTCTTTCCTCTTTCTGTCACAGATGAAATGGAAAATTGAACACAAATTCAGTTTATGAGTTTATTTCTATACAGGCAATCAAAGTCAGTGAAAAGTCGGAAGCACAAAACTGTACAACATTTGAATACAACAAATGTTAAGAAGAAATTGACTGTGATTTTTTTCATTACAACTAACCATAAGTATGCATCCTGTGATGGAATGTGTCCTTGGTGGGCTTAGTACTAGCTGTGCTTGTTTCTTTTCCAATCCCCTGGAAGTTATTAAGACACGTATGCAGCTTCAAGGTGAGCTGCAAGGCAGAGGCACATACAAGGTGCATTACCGGAATGTCTTTCATGCATTTTACACAGTAGGAAAAGTTGATGGTCTAGCTGCACTGCAAAAGGGCCTTGTCCCAGGCTTGTACTACCAGGTGGTCATGAATGGTCTTCGGCTTGGTTGTTACCAGATTATGACTAATGCAGGACTGACAAAGAATCCTGATGGTTCATTGAATTATATACACTGCATATTAGCTGGGGCAACCTCTGGATGTATTGGTGCATTCTTTGGAAGTCCAATGTACATGGTAAGTAGAGACATTTTCAACCATATCAGATTGAAGCCAAATTGATTTTCATCCAAAAAATGTTTTGATTTGCTTGTTTGACAATGCCAGCTACCTTTGTGTACTTAGGATATGGCTTTATATGTTTGATGTGTGTACATGGTCCAAATAGGCAACAATGTAGCGTGAGACTAAGAAGAATCATGAAGAAAAGGAAAACTACATTCACACTACAGAAATCTTATTTATCATCTAATTTCTTTTTTACTCTGAATCTGTATAAAAAAATGAAATTGAGCAGCAGTTCAAGGAGTTTGACAATGAAAATTTGTGGATTGAAATCTACGAAAACTATCAAAAAGCACACAAAGGCATAAAATGGACTAGAGTGCCTAAAATGTTCTTTGATATAATGACTTAGCATATCCAAAATTCTTCATCCAACATTTGGTGTGAGGATGGCTCAATGGTTGGGATTGCTGTCTACAGTTCCAAAGATTTGAGGTTCAAGTCCTTCCTATGACTAAACTTTTGAGTGAGGGGAATCCTCCATGCTCTGCTATTCCATTAAATGAACCATTGATCAATTTGAGAGGAGAGACCAGGGGACCTCTTGATAAACAAAGCTTCTTGCTTTTCCAAAACTTCTTTTTTAACTAGATAACTGCCAAATGAAAATGCAAATTATCCCAAAAGGTCAAATTGAAAAGCCTTCATAAGCATTTGCTGGAGAGCTGAATATTTTTGTTCAAATTTGGAAATATATATAGGACAAGATCCACATATTTTCTTGCCCAGTATCCAAAAAGCAACAGCTCAATGGAAGTAAGGCATGCAAAGGATTTTGCCAATTTTATCTTATGAGTTTTCTCTACATGTATGCCCTATTTTTATGTTTTCTTGGAGGCCTTTGCTCTGCCAGTATCAGGTTTGCCAAAAAGAAAGTATCCTTTAGGTTGGTTTTACTTAGTCAAGTTCTCATGGGAGTATGGGAATATCATTGAAATGCAATGGCATCATTTTTTATACCCAGTGTTGCTATGCTTGTGCTAGGGTGCTTTTAAGCATGATATCGAATGGTCAATGGTAAACAATATATAAAGACATTCCTTAAGATTTTCATAGACAGAAACAAATAAAGTGTTTCTCCTGTCCCTGCCAATGAGGGAAAACGGTCAAATTCTTTGTAAACCATTGAAAGGAAGCATGGCCTGAATGTGAAATATTTTTGGTTATCTTTATCACAGTAGTCAGACATGTAACTGGCATTTTTCTACATTCTTTTTCTCTTGTTATCAAGTATTCTTTTTTTAATCCAAGCGAGAATGTACGTTGGAGGGTCTCTCAGTTTTACAGCTATGTAGGAATTCTGGAAAAAACACACATGGTGATAAATAATTCACGCAGCTAACACTGAAAACAACCGTTTCAATCTATGTTATCTTGCTAAAGACCAAACCAAACGCCAAATGAATTCAGACATCCACAGCTGCATTAGATAATACCTTCTTGGCTTCTTTTGCAAACTTTTCCTCATTTAGCAGTTTGAAGATTTCGATAAAAATTCTTAAAATAGCTAAAAAAATATTGCAATAGACTTGCGTTATCAAGACAATTCAAACATTTAATAGATGCCATTCTGCCATTCTAGTTTAATGCCATTAATACAAAATAATTTTTGAAGCCTGTGACAAAAACTCTTTATGAATTTATTCTGTATGTGCTCCATTTTGAGATGGTTGTTTTCATTTTTATTTTATTCTTATTGTGTTTGATTTCTTCAAGGCCCCTTTTTTGCAAATAATGTAGGGCAGTTTTGAATCAGAAATTTTTTTAGTGTTTTTTTATTGCTACATCTATTTTGTAAGATTTTTAACTGCAGGCTTTGCGTAAATTTGATGATCTTGTTTATTTAAACACGCTAAGAGACTTGAAACGAAACAATTTAATTTGCATTTGTTCATTAGAGCTTAATTTATATGCTGGATTGTGTATAATTATATATCTCTTAAAAACATTTTTTCTAAAGTTTTGCATAGATTAAACATGCATATTTTTTTATAGTTTGTGCCTTATGCTGAAATTATTTAGTGGTTTGATTATTAGATTATTGAAATACTTATTTGCGTCTAGTTTTTAAGAAAACTTAAAGCTTTGAAAAGGATATTGTTTTGCAATATAAAAGTTATATACGTTTTTCTTGGCTTTTTTCAACTTTCTACTAAATATTTCTTTTACATTTTCTATCCAGATGAAAACACAACTACAAGCAGAAGCAAGTAATACAATTGCCGTTGGAACACAGCATCACCACAAAGGTTTCTTAAATGCATTACGCACAGTTGTAGCGAAGCATGGAATTCTGGGATTGTGGCGTGGTGTAACGGGTGCCATGCCAAGGGTTACAATAGGGTCTGCAGCGCAGTTATCTTCGTTTTCGAAAGCAAAAGAAGAGATTGTTAACCGTAAGATTTTCAAAGAGAACAGCATTTTCATCCCATTGTCAGCAAGCATGATTGGCAGCTTATTCGTTGTTGTTGCCATGACTCCGTTTGATGTTGTAAGCACACGACTGTACAACCAAGCTGTTACTGCCGATGGGCGTGGTCTTTTGTATTCTGGTTTCATCGATTGCCTTTATAAGATTTTTAGAAAAGAAGGTTTGATTGGGTTTTATAAAGGAATTGGAGCATCATATTTCAGGCTAGGACCTCATACAATTCTAAGTCTTGTATTTTGGGATAAGCTGCGTAGCTTCTATATTTCAAATTTTTAAAAAGAGAGCTGATATCAATATTTTTAATCAGAATTGTAATATGATTGTGTAATTAATCAATAAGGCATATTTTGTAATAATTTATGTTGTCTCTATTTTCCAACGATAAGTTGAAAAGCCAAAAGTTGAATTGTGAAAGTTCATTGTAATAAGAATCAAGATAGTCTTCCTTTATATATTCATATTATCTAGACCTAGATAAATTTCGAAAACAGCAAACAAGGCACGATAGGTTTTCAGATCTAGCTGTGCTTAACAATGTTTTGAGAGACGTGTTTTTGGAACTTTTGAAACTGAATGCATGGAAATTTTTAAACTTTTATATGAAATATATGAAATGTAAAATAATGCCTCTTCTGTTAATGTGTGAAAAACGAAATTTGCTCGTACTATTATGCAATCCAAACTCTATTGATATTTTTATTGTAAGTTGTGTTTTGAACATTTACCTCAGGCGTCGTTTTTTGTTTATGTTGCGCCATTTTGACGTATCTATCTGGGTCATGTTACAATATATATTTTGATATTTGTTGCTTCACATTTCCCTATGATCAACGAAAACGAATGAAATTGATAATGTCGTGCCCCATGTTAGATGCACATTGCTGCTTCTGGCTTCAGTGTTTTCACAATTTCGAAGATGTTGTGAGCTTTGGTTTACTGTCAATCATTAAGTAGGCCCGGGAATTTTTCAATTTTTTAACGGCGCTCGCTCGAAGTGGGTGCTAATTTGATGACCGTAAGTATTTGTAAAAGTTGGAATAGAATGCAGGAGACCATGAGGCCCAATGTCTGCATTTGGTCAAGTCTGCACTCGAAAAGATTGTCAAATATGTACAATTATACTTAAGACACCTAAAGCCTTGATAAACCTAATTATGCTTGGGACGAGTTTAAACAACATTGGTCCTGCCATGGAACGGATATTATTTGAAATATTAAAACCAACGATGTGTTTCTCTTCATTATCACTAAATCTATGCTATAAAGCCTTCACAGTGTTCAATTATTCTACGCTCTTTATCACTTATTCTAAACTAAATCTTCTCGATTTTCTCCTTCTACCAAAGAGATTTAAATTTTACAAAGGATTACAAAGGAAGTCTCAACATGGGGTTTGAAGAGAAGTGTCTTTTTAAAACTGTTTTTCCAAATCTTTTTTCTATGCCTTCCCTACTTACAGATCGTACAAGATACATTTTTAAACTAGCAGAATCTTCCTGCTGTTATACAGTTTGTCCTTTTGTTTAATCTATCTATCAAAAACACTTTCACCTCCTGTTTCAACCTGTAACCTTTGCGCATATCGTTCCTTGCAGGCAGTGCTTGCTACGTGCCATGTCTTTGGGTGAACGCAGTAGTATCCCTAAGCTGTCAATATAGGTTCTTCCTTTAATGAAAGAATCTCAAATAACTGATTAGTTTTTTGTTGAATAACAAGCATATTCCTTATTTTCTTAAGCAATGTTGATGTTTATATCAGAGCCTTTGCAAATTGCAATAAGGTTTTTTCAAATGCCTTGATTTTCATTCTCATCATTCTTTGATGATAGCAGAATCTTCCGGTCAGTCATGACTGACGTCGAGCTGGATCCATGGTTGAACGAATCTTGTCTCAAACCTTTTCAAAGCCGAAAACGGGCGCTCTGGAGAAGGGAGGCTTATAGGTGAGAAAACTGTAATTGCATAAGCTCGGCACAATGCTTAATATGCATCAAGAAGATATGCAAGAGCATCGATGAACGAGGACATTTTTTCGACATACTTTTGTGTTGGCCTGTCCTTTCTGGTTAATGGGACTGAAAAATTGTCTGTTTAAGCCTTGAGCAAGCGCTCTCGAAATTTCACCTGACAACGCTCGACGATTTGTCGACTCGAATGGACTTTCTATTGTATTAGGTCCTGTGGAGCTTTGTAGAGAGCGTTAGGCCACCTTCTCGATTTTCTTCTCGACCGTTACGAATTATCGCACGTGCATTTTGCTACATACAAAGTTTACCCGCCAAAGCTGATTTTATTAGTGGTCCCCTCAGGTTTCTCTCATTAGGTTTGCTTATATTTTTAAATGGAAAGCTGCAGCTATTTCGACCGTATTTTTGATTGAAATTTAGATCGCAATGTCTATAAACTAGGTCCGATTGAAAGCAACGATAAGAATAAATTCGAAATGATCTTGACCATGAAGCCAAGAAATTTAAATCATGTTTCAAACAGAAAAAGAAACTGGGCGTAAACAGGCAAGAGGCAAGAATGATAATGTCCACCGTGTCAAGATGTGATTGCCTAATATACTTGTAACACCATGCAGGATATACCTGCTTAAGAAATTCTGAAATAAAAGGTAGGTTTGATGCCAGCCTTGCTTAGGAATTTATGACTATATTTTCACCAATATCATATATGAAAAATCTTCCTATGACTAACATTAGAGTTGTTTATCAGATTCATAATCAGAAAAAACAGAATTGGTTGGCTTTTTTTAAAAAAAATCTATAATAAGAAAGGCATCCGAGGCGATAGTTACATTTCTGAAAAGTCGAATGTCATGTCGAGTAGAAGATCAAGAGCATTTGGCCACCTGAACGATCTCTACATCGCACGACGTTGGTCTACACTGCCGTCCGGAAAGTCGAGAGCGTTTGATCCAGGCTTTAGTCACTTTTGCATTCCTCTGTCATTATGACGCCCCCTCTATATCTCTTGCTTGGGGTTGTAGTCCCGCCCCCCTGCCACTCCGCCCTGCTACTTATGTCTGCGCAAAAACGATGTATTGATTTTGTTTTTATTTTGCAAAAAAAGTGCAGTGGTCTTATGGCAAGAAATCGGTGGTTCATACGTAAGTCTTCTTACTGTTGTTGTTAATCAAATGCTTTAACATCATTTCGTCTTGTGCAGTTTCCCAAACGCAGATCAAAGGCTATTGAATATTTGAACAAGGGAAGGCGAAAGGCAGTCCTAGAAGTCCAAATTTGGATTAGTGAGCAAACAGCTTTCGACAATACTGCGATTTATTTGACATAAGCTTTGCCATCTTCAATGTTTTTCAATTTTGCGGAAAGAAATTCGATTCGCATTGCACCTTTACAAAGAAATGTCATGTTGCATGAAGGTTAGATAAAACTATCGTAAACACCACTTTGAAGTTTTCCAGTTGAAGCGGTAAACAAATTACTTTCAGGCTACATGTTTTCGTTGGAATGATCCGTTCGATGTACAATCCACTTTGTCCCGATTTTGTTTTTTAGTTCCACTTTCTTTTGAAGATTTAGCGGTTTTTCAGCGTTATGTCAAGATAATTCTTAATTTTAGTTAGAGCACTTTCGAAAAAACAAGCAATTTTTAAGCCGTGTTAAGCCAAGCAACTTTTAAGCCTGCCTCTGACAATCAGCGCATCATGATAAAACCATATGATAAAACATAAAATCTGTCCGCATTGGCTTACCTCTTCGAGCTTATTTGTTGAGATTTTCTTCCTCATTCTATTTATTTAGAAATATTGCTGAAAACCTTTTGTTACCATTTCTAATTTGTGAAAGTGACGGCTAATTATTTTCAAAATCTTTCAATCTTTCTAACAGAGTTTTGAATATCCAAAAAAAAGCTGCGTCCATCTTAGAATGGCCGTCGCTTGAAATTATGTAAGCTATGTAATGTACTAGCCTGTAATCAATCTATATGTCATCATCTCTGTATCATGTTTGTAATGTACTGCTGTCACTATGCTTTGTACTCTGTTGTTGTTGATTGATTGTAACCAGATTCGTGTATTATAAGTAATTGTAATTAACAATGTAAGTTAGTCGTGATTCAGAATATGATGAATACAGGCGTATAAACCAGTGTCTTTTATTAGCGTTAACGCTACATTTTGGTGACAGGAGTGGGATGGCGGTGGAATGCGTTGGTCTTTACACTTTTTAATGGAATTTTTATCGAGAATGATTTGGATTCACTGAGTGCTGCTGATTCACAGCTTTAATTTGATTTTCAAAACAGAAACTTTTTGCGATGGATTTGGGTTCAAATTGCTGCTCATTTCGCTTGGTTATTGTCTTTTTGGAAGAAGACATTCCACTAACGGAAAAAGCATTCGTTTTCCAGATGATACAGAGATGATGACATATAGATTGATTACAGGCTAGTACATTACACCTTCCCCCCAACAAAGGATCAAAAAGCCGCCACTGTAGCCAATACACTTGTCTCTCGCGTTTTCTCCAGGTTTGGTCCACCGACGGTCATCCACTCAGACCAAGGACGGAATTTTGACAGTACATTAATGCATGAAATTTATAATATCATGGGGGTTAAGAAGTCACGAACAACAGCCTATCATCCGCAGGGTGATGGGTTGGTTGAAAGGCAAAATCGCACCCTGCAGGACATACTTAGTAATTTTGTATCAGACCATAGTGGTGACTGGGACCAATGGTTAGACCAGGCCGTCTTTGCCTATAACACAAGTATACATGAATCAACAGGTTTCTCTCCTTATGAGTTAGTTTTTGGGCACCCAGCACGCATGCCCATTGAAATTGAATTAAGTGTACCTCTGCAGAATCCATCAAGCCAATCTGATTATAGTCAGTCCTTACGCAAGGCTATTCAGAATGCCAATCAGATAGCTCAGAAAAACTTAGAAATAGCTAGATCTAGACAGCGTATGCATTATAACAACAAGACCCTCAAAGAATGGCAACCTTTTGATATTGGACAAACGGTTTGGCTATGGCGCCCCAAAAGCTGGAAGTTTGGTAGGAAATGGGTTGGGCCATACCAAATCTGCACTCGACGTGGGGTTAACTATAACATCAGGTCAAGCAATGGCAAATTTCTTGTAGCCCATCACAATCAACTCAAGGCTTGCCCTTTGCCCCTGGGCCAGGGTCAACCATTCCATCCAGTCCCTGAAACTCCAGGGATAATTCCTAGGGAGGGTTTTCCAGTTGTCCAGCATGAAGAGATGCAAGGAGTTGTTCAAAGGGGTACTGCCAGACCACCTCACCTTCGTCAGGTCATTAATCCCCCCCCAACGTTACGGAGAGGTTGTTGCACATTAACACAGACCAACCTTTGCTACACTCAACATTGTAAGGGAGGGGAAGGTGTAATGTACTAGCCTGTAATCAATCTATATGTCATCATCTCTGTATCATGTTTGTAATGTACTGCTGTCACTATGCTTTGTACTCTGTTGTTGTTGATTGATTGTAACCAGATTCGTGTATTATAAGTAATTGTAATTAACAATGTAAGTTAGTCGTGATTCAGAATATGATGAATACAGGCGTATAAACCAGTGTCTTTTATTAGCGTTAACGCTACAGCTATATGTCAAATTTTCTAACAAGAATCACATTAATTGCATTAATTCAAGCGAAGAATTCAAAATCATGTTAGAAATTAGCAGAAGAGAATGGATCCCAAAAGACCCTTTTGCTTTGCTCCTATGTCGATTGAAGTAACATAGACTTCACTGTGTAAGGAAGTCTGATAGTAATAGTTATGCCATGACAACTCCTGCATAAATAACACGTTACAAAACAAAGTTAAAAACACAGCTACAAAAAATAAGGAATTTCCTTAGTAATTACTGATCTTTCTTATCAGGCAAACTTTCTCGGGTAGGGGATAGTTTGCTAAAACTGGAAGCTTTCATGCTCCTCTGCCATAATTTCCACTTTACGATGCTTTATCTTTGCATTGTTGCAACCAGCAGTAGGTTCATCATTTATTTCCTCTCAGTTTTCTTTCTTTGCTGTCGATTATTTTCCATTTTTCACATTCCTTTTCGGTACCATAAGTAGAAAAATTTGAAACCTTAGAATTGATAATTTGTAACTCATCAAAAATTTGGCAAATTTTCCTACTAGAATTGTTTTTGTTTCTTTACTAATGATTGCAATCTATTTCTTTATGGAATGGAAATTTGCTGCAGCATAAATTGAAAATGTTCGATGAAGGGTTGTGCTACCCTGCCCTGTAAACCTGGAATAATGTTCAACTTTAAATTTACTAATTCATTTATTAATTATCTTAATTTTCGTTCATTGTTATTCAACATATAACACGCTATACTACTTTGATTATCTGTCTGGCACTTTACTCAAAAGATCTAAAATATTTCCACCTGCTCGTTATGTGTCTTTTCTTCTTTGTTACCTCGCTTTACTCGAATATTTGTCATTTTTTGCAACATGTTCACTCCGCTTAACTGGTCTCTTCTACCAAAGAAGATTCATGCAAAGGTTCTTTTCACTGCTCAATATTCGACTCTGTCTAATACCTGGTTTGGTATGGTCTGGTCTGGTATACCTGGGGGGGGGGGGGGGTCTGGTATACCTGGTCTTGTATACCTAAGTCTGTTGATTTTATAAACTGCAGATCAGTCATTCTCTGAAACTGACAAGCAATAACCCGAATGAGGAAATCTACTGGACAGAAATTTCTTACCTAACGAGGTGTCAAAATCTTGATTTATCGATATTGAAACAAAATTGGCATTCTCATTACATTACTTCAAAGCGAGGCTGAAAATCTACGCGGACTTGTAGCGATAATTGTACTGTTCTCTTTGCTAATTTCTTTTCTTTTGTCTCTTGTTAAGATTGATTCATAAAAACATCTATTAGAAGAAAGTTAGAAAAAGCGAACTCCTAAGAATGTCAAAAGAGTATAAAAATCGAATAATGGCTGAAAGTAAGCAGGAATAAATTTACAGATGCAGATCGAGAATAACGCGGGAGAGAGGGCGGTAATGTGGCCTATGATTATGTGCGAAGAATGATTGTGTGCGAAGAACGAGTAAACTGTGTGGTGGGTCGAGGGGAACGCATAAATGTAAGGCATGCTCGTTTTCCTGTGAATAGGGTGCCGATTTCTATTGCTTGCGGCCACAAAATGATGATGACTCAGCGTCGTTAGCAAGCCAACGTTCCTAAAAGCTAGTGTCTCAATCGCTCTCTCTGACATTTGTTATTTAAGATACAGTGGATACAGTGGCAACAAAAATTTTGATTGGTAAAAAAGTCTTACTATTGTCAATTTTTTCATTGTTTTTCTTCACATATAAAGGCCTGTGGTCCTACCTTGAAGATACCTCCACATGCACTCTAATTACTGACAATCCAGAATGAAATCTAAATGCATCCAGGTCATCCTGTTAATAAAACGAAAATAAAGCCACATTACGAAACCTTTTTGGGTTTGACTTCAAAAAGCAAAAGCTCTGCAAAAGACTTTCACAGCCAAGTTATCTAATAGCTTAATAGTCTGAGCTTTACTTACTTCCGATACCTTTAGTCAGGGGTCTGGAACTCTGCCTTGCTTTGCAAGACATCAGCTTCTCGAGCTGGAGGGTTTTGTCCGATTGCCATGAGACATGGACTATGCGTGAGGCAAATACAAAGCAGGTAGAGAAGTCATATAAATTGGCAACAGCTGTTTTGCTTGATGTGAGGCCTTCTTTCTATTGACTCTAGACGAACATGTCAGTGAAGAAATTCACCGCAGCACAGGGCTCTGATATGCGAAGAACAACAATAGTAAAATTGACAATAGCAATACACTTCTACGAATCAAAATTTTTGTTGCCGTAAATGCTTCTTTGCATCGTTGACTTTGTAATGACGTTGAGTCAACATCATTTCATGGCTGCAAGCAATAGAAATCGGTACCCTAAATACAGGGAAACGAGCATGCCTTGCATAGCAAAAAATTTATGTAAAAGCGTTTATATATATGTATATGTATATCTATATAATAAAATAGATTAAGACTAGAAATGAGACATGTTCTCTGTTACTCTGAGTTTCGTGCTTGCGCACTCATCAGACAGACTATAATCTGTCTGATGGATTATAGTCTGTCTGATGAGTGCGCAAGCACGAAACTCAGAGTAACAGAGAACATGTCTCATTTCTAGTCTATATTCTATTTTATTATATCTATTGCTCTGTGCTTTTGCACATCGAGCACTGTCACGTCAGAATAGACAACGCAATCTGGAACATGTATATATATATAAATATATATATATATATATACATGAGTTGATTGCCATGAATACGACAGAAAGTTGAAACTAGTCGGCAAAATTTGCATTTTTACTAGTGTACACGTCTTTTCAACTGTACAATATATATATATATATATATATATAGGTATATGTATGTGTTCCCCGCGACCCACTACATAATGTACTCAATTCTTCGTACACAAAAATAAACTGCTTCAGTTACACGAATGAAGGTCCTTTGTTTTGATGCAGACGGATTCCAAAATACGTCAATAAAAAAAACAAGCTTGTTTGCCCACAAGCCTAATGAGTTTAAAATTGCCATCGAATTACGTTTTGCACATCCCCCAATAAATAAGTTAAAGTGAGTCTATAAAAACGCTGCTGTGGATTAAAATATGTTACTATTCAATCAATCTTTCTATGTTATCTTCCTTCTGTATCTTGATAACTTTAACAAATTGAATAGAGTCTACTTTCCAATTTCTTTTTAAAAGATTCAGACTATAATTGATTTTATCATTCAGAAACTAGTGACCATTGGGAAAGGACTTTTGTCTACTTTGACACAAAAAGCTTAATCGGGGATTTCAAGCAAATAATATTTAGGGTCAGTTGAACATTCTTACAATTTAGAATCATTTTAAAGAAAAAAACACCTCAAAAATGGGCCTTGATAAAAACTCAGCCTACTTGTCACATCAAAGGATCCCATTCGGGCTATGAATTGTTATATATTAACTACTTGCTGAGAGTCTTTCGAACTCATCATGATAAGTCTGCGACGATACATGACTAGCTTTTGCTTTCATTAAGTAGAATAGTTTTAAAAGTTGCAAAGAACTGAAACATAGAAAAGTACAAGTATCTATTACTATGAAGTCGCTCATAGTTAGATATTAAGAGAAGGCTAGAAGATGGGGTGAAATGTCTTATAAATTGTACAACCGGTTTTATGACAAACGGGATAAAATGAGATTGGTTTCCTTAGTTAAAATTGTGTTGAAAAGTTATGTCTCTCCTTAACATGGAGAAAGTGTCATTTGCTTATGTAATGTCTTGCATTTACGAAGATTAGAGAATTGTGCATACCTCACCGTACGTCAAATATTAAGCTAGCTGCAAGCTTGATTGTACAAGCTTACTAAAAATATCGCAAAATTTGCAGGAGAACTCGTCAAATAAATGGATGTCTAAACTTTATATGAAGTGAAATAATTCGATATGTTTTGCTTATTTTCAAATCTGTTTATAGTGACTTCAAGTTGATGTTGCTTGTAAACCGTCTTTGAATTTGTACTTTAGATAATTGTAAAAAACTTAAACTTGTCCAGAATAACTTGATATAGATATGAGCTATTTTTTGTCCGCATTACCCCCTTTTCTAGTTTGTTCTACAATGTTCCTTTGTTGTTTATGTATATAATCAAGTTACTTCGCAACGACGCTGTTTAGCTACGAAGCTTGAAAAATCTTTGAAGAAATAATCCAATCAAAATTATAAGAACCGCAAGCTCCGACGTGACACTTATTTATTACATATTAACATCACAGGGTGACGCGATACCTCAAAATTAATTGAAGCAGGCAAAAATAAACAAGGTTTTAAAAAGATTTGTACTGCTTAGAAAATAGATTTTTTTCCTGTCCAATGAAAAACTGGAAATTATGTTTGAGCGTATATGACAAGTTTCTGCAGCTGAAAACCAGAGTGAATGGCTTTTTAACAATAAAACACCTTGTGAGGTGTAACTCTATATGAGGTGTAACTCTTGTGTGATTTACTTGTGGCAATGGAACCATCACTTTAAACTCCACAGCAAAAGGTAACAAAATCCACCTGTTTCATAGGAGGACTTTAATTCGAGATTTGATTTTTACCATGATCTTTTCTTGCCCAATTTTCGTATTTTAGTAGATTTTGTTTCTTTATAGACAATGAAATTCACATGATAATAAGCTCCATTTCCTTCCTCCTCCGTATTTCCCACTGCACAACCATTCTGCTTCTTCATGTTTAAACCGGAACTACAACTAAATTAAGTATTTAAATCAGTGTCTGAAGAGAATTTAACCTATTAAGTCAAAATACAACAACCTGGAGCTAGAGATTTTCTTTAAGTCAACACAAAAACTGCATCAATTGATTCTCTAACTTTGCAAGCGTGTTTCCTGTGAAAAGAATATACTAAAAGTTTCGTTCTGGAAGTGTTACCCCGATGTTTGAAAGTACATGTTTAAATGCCTAGTTGTAGTGCACGTCAAAGAGTAATGAAATTCATATACTTTCTATTAGGTCTATTTTCAAGGCTTTCATCTCTATAGTTCAATCTCATCAATTTTATTCATGAAAAATGCTTCATCATCGACCTTAATAGGAAGGATCTAATAGTAGTTTCATGCCGGTCTTGTAGTGACTTCAAGCAAAGGGCTAGAATCAGGGAAGAGTTATAGGTTCTTTGTCCCAAGCTTGATCATTTCAATTCGACTTTTTTAGAAATAACTCTGTATTGTTGAAACAGATCGGTATTTATTACATCGGATTCAATTGTATTTTTAAAAATGTCCTACTAAGACAAAAAAGGCAGCTTTCTTCTATCCCTCTTTTCTCACCTCCGGCTGGGTCCAGAAACTCTTATTATGTCGCTTAATTAGCACAGAAGTCAGCAAGTTGCTAGAAACAATGTGCTCCCCGATGACAAAGCTCAAACATTAATCCGGGAATCTACACTCGTTCTTTTCAAAACGAGAATCCTTCGGGCGACGTACTTCACTATTGCCGCATGCAGCTGTGAATCTGAACCGGCATGATTTCTCTCACCTTCTGTCAAGAATATATCTTCAGAATGATACTTATCCGACTACTCACTGCGCTGTTCACCTGTTTGGACGCGATTTCAACCCTATCATTTTGAATAAATGACATGACAGGACGTATAGAAATTTCATCTTTTTAGCATTATTTATTGATAAATCAATTGCCAGCTGCCTTGTTGTACCTGCGTTTCTGCTTTCCCAATAAGACAAAACCTTCTGTGTAGGGCCATAGTTCACCTCTATGTTAGCTTTGTTGCCTTTGGTCCCATAAATTTTTCTTTGATTGATATTGGATGAAACGAGAACAGATAAGAATAGTCAATATAGAATTACAGTTATTTCAGAAATTGTGCAGAACAAATTGCAACTGAATTTGTATCTAGATCTGTATCAATCAATTTTGAACCAAATGTCTTGAGGAATAGTTAGTTAATCGAAAGGCTATTTTCAAGAACTGTTTATGTGTATGCATCCTGCCTTATAACTGTGCGCGTTAACAGATTATTATGAAATTACTAAATAAAAAGTCTTTTAATTACGCTCAAAAAAGAAGTAAATTAATTAAGGTTCAATCATACTCTTAATTTAGACAATTGAAATCATCGAACCTTATCCATCATATTTCAATGCTGAGATAATCTATCACAAAAAATAGTCAAAAGACTTTTTGCAACTATGAAGCTTGCACAAATATACAATAGGTACGCTGATACAATTAAACTTGATAAGCAAGCTTTCTTTAATTAGCTGTCAATTGAATCATGTTGTTAACATTATCCTGTTCTTTCTTTGTTAATTGTTAAATTAAATTGAATTAAAAGTTAGAAAAATATTTTTCTTGAATAATTGCGTCGTCTAATTCGATTGTTTATCTTAGGTCACGGGCAGCAACCTGTTGCATTCCGTCTCAATATTCTCTTGTCATTTCCACAAGACCTTCGGTTTTTTTCTGCCCGTTGTCAATTTGCTGAAAAGCTAAACAAATTTGCTTTGAGTCTCTTGAATTTCTGCTCTTCTTTTCTACCTTATCAAGAATTTGTCTGGATAATTAGACTTTTTTAACCGGAGATTATGATTCGAGAGTCCAACTTTTCTTGGCTGTAATTATCTGCGGACTGCTAACAAACGTAGGCACCCTGCAGTTTATTTGTTTCTTGCAGTTTGATTAGGAGATGAGATTTGCGAGAAAAGTGCTCATTTTTCTTTGATGAAATAAATAACAGGTCGTTGTTATAAGGATTAATTAGCCAAAAACATCTGCCTTCGGTCTGCGCAATGTTTTTGTGTGGATTTTGCGTTCGTCTTTGTTCATCTTAATTTCCTTACGACCTGCTCAAGTGCGTATAGCTGAATGTTAGCTCTTGATAGATTAATCGAGGCATTATGCTTCCTCAAAGTTGTCTAAAAGGACTCTCATTCCTGGCTGGCTGACTTGACCACTACAGCAATTAAAATCTATACCTTCAAACATGTTATTTTCGTGATGAGCTGTGGAAATCAAAATAATTTATATCGACCAGCTTTAGGCCATTTTGACTTTGGCTGTTCGGTCTAGAAGCGTTTATATGTTGACGACGTGATTATTACAACACGACCCTACTCTCAGCTATACAGCGATTGCAGCGAGGATTGCCATTTGAAAAACAAGCTCTTTGCGTCAAAGAAAAACACTTGCAGTCACAGTCGGAGTTGGAGATTTCTATTGTTAAATGCTGTAGTACTAAAAAGGTAGGTCAACAAACATTTGAAGGACGCATTCAAAAACTCAGCGTTTGTATGGAAATTGAAATTGTTTTGGGTTGAGGCTTAACCTAACTTTGCATGAAGAAAAATTTCAACGAACGATATGGTTTCAATTTGAGGAGCCATTAGGATTACATTTTAGAAAGACATGTAACATTACCATAAAGACACCGAAAATAAAATAAGAGATGAGGGGAAACAATGCAATTTCCAGGAAGTGTTTCTTTGGCAAGGTTATTGATGTTTATTCAAGGGAGCTTCCTACGCGTTTATATGTTGTATGATATATTACTGATCTATTTGCATACACATTCAAATTTGCTAGATGCAAATGAAATAAAATAATTTGTGTTCTCTTTCAAGCAACTAAGATGGCAGGATTATTGAATCGGGAAACATCATCACCCCTACCTCTGCGCTCCTCGTCTGTTTGGGCAGACATACGTGGCTTTACCGCGCGGACAACAGCCGCATTGACGTATTACAATGATCATCGGGTTGAAATTGAAGCAATGTTTGTCATGCCGCTTGATTTTTCATCTCATGTCGTTGAATTTGAAGCTAATATCGAGGGGCGATATCTTTTCGTCGATATCGAAAATGAAAATGAATCAGAAAAAAAGACTGCAATTTACGACTTTGAACCACGTAATGACGAAAAATTTTTGATAAGCATTGGCAGACTCTCGCCTTGGATACTTATACAAGTACAAGTTACAGTGATCACTGAAATTTTCTGGATGTCTTACAACTCTGCACTGGAATTCTTGCTACCCAGTGTCTTCACCCCGCGAATTGTTTCTGACTTATCAAAATACGAAGAAATGAAAAGCAAAGACCCAAGAATGCGATTTGCACCGTGCATTCCCGCCATATCAACCCTAGGTTACAGTCTTGAGATCGAAGTAAGCATCGAGGCCCCTTGTCGTGTTACAAGGGTGTCTTCTGGAACCTATCCTATTCAATTTGATTCATTAGCTCAAGACGATGATTCCGCAAAAATTCGCGTTCAATTACCTGACAATTTCAAGCATGTTGACAAGGACTTTCAATTGTCATTTCTTCTTGAAAAACCACGCGAACCGTTTATTTATATTGAGCAGGCCCGGCACACACATACTAACGAATTCGGGGAGAAGAACCCAATAAGTAATATAATGAACAACCCTGTTTTGATGTTGAGCTATTCGCCTGATTTTTCTAATTTGCAAAGGGAAGAAACAATGGGTACTTCAGAGTTCATTTTCATGATTGACCGTAGTGGCAGCATGAATGGCAATCTTATCAACAGTGCAAAGGAGACGATCCTTTTGTTCCTTCATAGTTTGTCATCTAATGCGTATTTCAATGTTTTAAGCTTTGGGACCTACTTTCAAAGTCTTTTTAAAGAAAGTCAGCCATACTCACAAGCGAATCTCGAGGAAGCATGTTGCTACGTGCGAAAAATTCGTGCAGACATGGGAGGGACGTCATTACTGGAGCCCCTTGAATGGATTTTCAGTGGACCAGTTCGCAAGGCTGTGCCACGCCAGATTTTTATGGTAACAGACGGAGTTGTCACAGATTCATCGAAAGTCATTGAATGCGTCAAAAAGCGAAGTCATCTCACAAGGTACGTCACACTATTAAGCAGTGCAGTATTGTTTCTTTTAGCGACTTTGTCGGTTGTTAAGAAAATTCTTTGAAAAACTATGGTATTGCTGGGCATTAAATTTAGTGAGAGTAAAAGAATCACTGACTTTTAAAAAAAGTATGTGGTAGACCGGTTTAACCCATATCAGGGCTTAGCAGTACTGCTGGATTTAACAAAGACGAAAAGATGGCCCAGAGCAAGTCATTACGCTGCCGGTTGCATGCGCTCTTGTTTCCAATTCAATTTACTTTGCAGCCTGGCCTTTGGTGACTAGCCATTAAAGGCTATTCGAGGCTCTTAAAGACTCATTGCTAACAAGGGGTAGCAAATTGTCCAGGTGACGATCCAAACAATGGCAGTAAACTCCTACGGATTGACCAAAATTGATTTAAGACTGCCTGCAAATGCATTATGGGATGCAATGGTTCATTATTAGCAATGAGTCTCTAAGATTCGTGTGTGTCAATGAGCCTCTAAGAACCTTGCCTGAATTGCCACTGGCAGCCTGACAGTTGCTCTTAGGCCAGTTCTATGTTCTCATTCCCTCTAGCTGTAATGTCGTTCTTTGATATAAGGTTAAGCAAATCTGCTGCAACCCAAAGCTTCCCACTTCATCAGATTGAAATTTCAACATCATTATAACATTTTGATGAAAAGAACACACTGGGAATAGACTTGTTTGTTATAGAGATCTACATTTCCTCTCCAGACTAAACTCTGCAGAGGGATTTTACCTTTTGCGCCACAAAATTATTTCTTGAAATACTCACCTTTCAGATGCATCACCGCTATAATTCATTTTCAAACCGTAAGATGCTGTTCTAGTATGCATTATTTATCAATTGCAACACAATTGCATTTCAAAAACAAATCTTATTTTCACTCATTAATTTTTAATATTATCTTTATCAATAGCTTAATCTTCAAAATCATGTTTTGAGCATAACGGGAATCACCCAATAATAAAACCATAGCTGACACAGCATTAGGTATGGCACAACCACGTGGGATTCAGGTCCTAATTTGTTCCTATTTCTCTGAAATAGAAAGATTGATGATAAGGGTGTTAGGAAGGGTGATCGAGCAACGTATGTACGGGAAGGCCTATTCCATATTTTGTGGCTCTAGTTCCAGTAAGTTCTTATCTTGTTTTGAATATAAACAGTTGATGTTGTATGATGGCACTTTATTTTAAAATAGCAAGAAGCATTACAACGTTTTCGGGCAAAATTTGTCATTTATATAAATACATTAAAGCGAGACGCATGTGGTTGATCACGTGAGTTTTGGTGGGAAATTTTGATGAAACACCCATATATTGCACGTTTAAATGTTTCCTGGGATTGATTCTAGCATTTTTCTTAATGTCGTGCAGACGAAGAAGTCAACTTTTTGATAAGTACCAAACGACTGTTCTATGTTGTTATTCCAAGTTTCATGGTTAATAATAAGACCATCTTTATAATTTTATGATTTTGTAAGCTTTTAAAGTCTCAACCGATGTTTTATACATGGTTTCCTGATCAGTGTTTTGGTCAGTGTCATGGTCAGCGTTTTGTAGCTAGTTGGTAAAAAAACTTTGCTGCTTGCGCAGTACAACAAAGTTCTGATAAATATAGGCTATACATATGCTTGAACCTTGAAGCTTTGATTGCTTTAGGAAAAGTTGAAAAATAAAATAGGGATTTTACGGAGTTACGTTTCAAGGCAAAAAAATGCATAATTGAAAGGTCAATGCGGAAGAGAACGAGATGGAATGTGCCCAGCATTAGATTATTTTTTATGTATTTTTGTTCGTTTGCAAACTTCTCGCCATTTCCCTCTTTTTCTTTACTTCGTTCTTCATTTCTTTACTTCGGGCAAAACCAATCATATGCAATTTTAAAGTCTCGAATCATAACAAATGTTCATACAGATTCTTAAACTGCCTTCTCATGATATATTTCTTGCATAATTTTGCAGTTTCTGACCTGGAAAACTCCAACATGGTGTTTCCATGCCACTGATTGTTAAATTAAAGTATTGGAAACTAAGTCTACAAATCGAGATCTTGTTAGCTAGCATTGGCAATATTCGTTTAATGCTAGATCCGATATGATCAACATTGGGCTTTAGAATTGATTTAATTTTCATGAATATTTATGATTTCATCTGCTTTATCACCAATTTTGATCAAAAATTTTTTCGTATTAGCACAAGTTATTAATCTTGTATATTTTGTCGCAATGCCGTAACGAACAGGAACTGATTCGGCATGGTTTCAGAAGAATCGAAAATGCAATTTCGAAAATGCTGGTCTATATAATTGCATTAGTCGATGCTTGCCCTGACTGATATTGAGACTAGCTGAGAGCGATTTAAGCATTGCTTAAGTGAGTCTCTTCTTTAAGCAACGAGAAGACGATGGTCGATGGACCATTCATTTCGCTAGACAAGTCATATTTAATTGAAGAAAAAGTTCTAGTCTAGAAGTTTTCGATAATGTTAGCTCCCTGTTGTGTCATCTCCGTCTAAGTGCCCCGGTGAGAGTTCAGATTTTTGCCGGGGTGGCAGTCTCCTTTTGGTTGGGAAAATTATAGTCAAATTTGAAACCGAGGAGCCCTGAATTTGTACCGAAGACAGCATCATATCAACTGAGGACATAAAACAACAGAAACATGGCATGTGTAATTTTCCTGCATCAAGCGTATTTTTAGCTGGACGACTGCACATCAGCATTGACACTAGCTGCACATTATGCAATTCGCAAACAGAAAATATAAAGTTTGGAAACATAGCACACTTCAGATTTTTCAGGACCCCTTGATAGAAACTTTGACAAGGCAATATAATAAAAACGGACTAACGGACCTTCCAAACCCAAAGATCTGATCTGTATATCAGGACAAGCTCTAGATATAGTAACTACCCGAAAAGGAAAAATTTCGATTTTGATGATTCTAGTTTGCTGGAAAATGCACTGTTCTAAGCAATTTTTACTAAAACAGTTTTTCATTTCATTTCATAATCTATTTGTTAACGCAGGTTAAAGAGTGGCAGCCTCAAGGTGGCTGATGTTGACCTGCGAAATCAAAATATTTACATTACTAAAATCATGGTAAAATTAGGAATAAGTTTACACTGTTCATACAGTTTCTTTGTTTTGAATTACTACTATCCTAATACATGTGACATCTTTAGGGTTAAAATAGTTCTCTAAATCATACTGAAAGTTCCTTAATTTTTGCAAACAGAGCAGATAAAAACAACTGATACAATTTTGCTGTGGTCTTGAAAATAGAATGCTTTTGCGTTACTTCCAAGGCCAGGTAGACAGAACCACTAATTTTCAAATGACCCTCTTTTCATGTTGGAATTTCTTGCATGTAAAAAAGGTCTGGAGTTCATTGTGAATTTCAGTTAAAAATTTTCCGAAAAACTGAAATAAAATTTGACGCATGATACAATTTTACCAAAGGAATTTTTTGATTTTGGAATTAGTACAAACAAGAAATCTCAAAATCATTGGCTTATGAGAAAATGACATCCAAGTCAGGGGTTAGGACAGAAAAAGCGCTGATATCAAAAGAGTGTGACTGATAAGCTCCTCCAGTTCTGACGTGCTGTGGGTGTGTCTATTACGTCATTATTGGCCTGTTCTAGACCAAGCAAACCATCATAATAATCTCCTGTTATATCTCAATGTTTTTTTCTTTTTATCCTTCCTTTTCTTCTTTGCATCTGTCATTGTAAAGGTAAATTCCGTGCAGAGTTAGAGTCAAATGATCCTCAAAAAGATTGGTGAACAGTTTATTCAAAGGCCACTTCGTTCAAATTTTTTACAGGCACCGCTGGATGAGATCCAGTGATGAAAATATTACATCACTGAACTTTTGAAGCAGCTTTCTAGGACTACCTGATCATTTCCTGCTTTCTACTCTCATCTGCCTCTTTAGCTCTTTATTCTCATCTTGGTGCATGGAGCCTTATCTACGAAAAAAATTATATCTTTGCTATATCGTTGCTGGATCTCTGTCTGACACGACTATTATCATTGATCTAATACGAAACTTCTTTCGTTTGTAATTCTCCAACTTGTACATCATAAACTCGGAAACTGGATGGAATTGGAATCATAAACTCAAGCAACATACAAAAATATAAAGTCTTGGGAATTTTGTCTTGAAACCTTTGACGATTTTATCAAGCATCAGCTGTTGAAGAGGCTCATTGCTTCTTCTAAAACTGATAAAACTGATAAAGTAAAACTGATAGACGCTAATTTATTTCCTTCTAAAGATCGTGCAAAATGTTTCTGCTAACATTTTTTTTGTCTTATCATCTTTAAGAATTTTTACCTTTGGTCTTGGAGAAAACATTTGTCTACCTCTGCTGCGTGACTTGGCTCTCATTACACATGGAAGGACAGAAGTCATACCAGTCGGCGAGCGACTTCAACCAAAGGTTAGCAAAAAATTTTTATTGTTATCAATGGCTAACGTTTCAGTTGAGGTTTGGCATATTGTGTATTACGTCGCTGCAACATATTGTGTATTACGTTGCTGCAACATTGCAACATCACGTCGCTGCAACATTGCTAAGCAAAGTGATATAGCCTACTTTTCACCTTGAAAAAGAAGTAGATCTTGGAAGTTGCAGCTTTGTATTAGAACTTCAATATTCTTGGAACAACCTGAACAAGAATTTGAAAGACGTTTATATATTAATGACAAAAAAAATAGAAATATTAACAAAAAACAACTGGCGTGAACCGATCTCATTTTCTTCCAAAACTCCATCCAGTAATAAGAAAAGGTAAGTGCAAATGGAGAGATAATTTCTTCTATAGTCATCTTCAGCAAATGAAATATTGCGGTATTTTCACCAAGAACAAAAAGAAAGCGAGCCAGTTCAATGCCGGAAAATATTGCTGTATTGTTATCGTGTGTAAACTAGTTTTTCTTGAATTAAATAGATAATCTGTTCTAAATTATAAGAAGCAGTTAACGTTTACCAGTAGCAATACGCTTCTTGTTGTTCTAACCAATCATTTTCCTTTGATAAAGGTTACTTGTATGACAATATTTAAGTTCCTGCAGGCAGATACCATAAAAGTCTTTGCCTATCTATCCTGTGAGCAATGACCATCTTTCGATATTGCCTGATGAACTATAATGTTCGTTATACATTTGGCAATGTTATCCCATTATATAAAACTTGTCATATTTTTAAAGGTAATCGAAAAGATTCAAGTAGCTTTACAGCCTGCAGTTACAAATCTACGTGCATCTTGGATCTTGCCAGATGGTTATGACGTCATCTATACTCCAGAACATATACCGCCTTTGTTTGACGGAGACCGCCTGACGATGTACGCAATTCTAGCAAGGAGAAAAGATTTGGAGGCTACTTCAAACGAGAAACGCTCTCAGAGATCTTCCTCTGATTCTGTTAAAGAATTCTGGTTTGAGGTATGAACAGATACAAAGAAAAATCGACGTTTTTTATTTGAGAGAAAGAGACCCATCTTTATTTAGCATGTTTAGTAGCTCTTTGCAAAATTTAAAAAATGAAGCGATAGTTTAACTTCATTCTGATGGTATTGAATGAGACGCCCTTGCCAACTCGAGCGTCTCAGAAGAAAGTATTTTGCTAGAAACTTTCCGAAACCATACCAACTTAAACTATTCGATATTTCAACAAATTACATATTGAAAGTGTAATGACCGATGATATGAAGAGTGACAGTTTGGTTATATTACAGGTCGTCAAATAGGAATTTGAATAAAAGCATTGGAATTCCTAAGTTGAAAGTGCTAAGAATTCTGTGAGTTCATGATAACAAAAAAGGATGATGTAATTAATAGACACTTGTTAGTGTCATCGTTAGTGCTTCATAGGCCAACAAAAATCGATTAAATCACATATCCAGGTAATTCACTAAGCGCCAAGACAGAGTTTAGCACAGGTGACGCCTAGTTAGTCCAATGCTGCATTTATCTTAAGTTATGTTTACCTGCAAATTACAAAGTGAGTTTTTACAAGAGCCTAATCACTTGCAGCCAAGATATTGCTGGGCATAGTTGTCTTTTGGCTGATTTCTGGAACATTGAGATTGAGATTGAGATTGAACAATGATTAAGATATTTTTTTGTTTTAAGCTTTTATTTTTTCAATGAGTGCTAGATTTATGCAATTTTTGCAATTTTCATGATTGGTACGGCTTGTTTCCTTTCTACTTTATGTCGAGCCAATTCTCTTTTATTTCAGGAAGATGAATTCGAAGTGGAACTTATTTGCGATGATCGGTCAAATAAAGACATCTTATCCAAAAGTACTTCCACGCCAAGCGATATTTCGCATCATAGTTTAATTGAAAATCGGCTAGATCTTAACCATTCACAAGAGCCGGATGACTTTAACGACAACGAGGTGTTTCTCACCGAAGAGGAGGCAGAACGCCTCACAGAGAGTAATAGCTGGCAACATGGTAAGCGTAGTTCCATTGATCGTGTGCAGTCGTGGCGAGTGAGTCGGAATCCTGACTCTGTTGAATCAGATAACACCCTTGGTGTACCATTGTACGAGGTGCAATGGAGGTCAGCAGAACGCTTAACGTCAAAGACATCTACCGGCAGCACATTCAAGGAAAGTCATTTCAGTGCTAGTACGGGTGATATAAGAAGTCACTATATTCTTTGTCGCGACGGGGGATCACAAGATCATGGTGTAGAGTCTTTGCCAAAATACCTTGCCCATCCAGGGTATCCAACACGTCACAACTCGGCTAGAAGCAATGAAGGACGATCACCAGTTCAAAAACTCTGTACAGAGCTGCCATATTGGGATACATTACCGAATATGGAGAATATAAAAGCAAGTGATTATCCACTTGCAGGTGGCTGTCATAAAGTTTCAGACGATAGGCGCTCTGTGAAAAGTCTTGAGCTGGGCTATGGGAAGCCTCTTAGCCATGACAGTGAATGCCTTGACGATGTCTTGCCAACTTGGTTTCATTCGAACAAAGGTATTCAAAGCAACGTCGAAGAAGATATCGAAATGAAAGGTAGATTAGTGTACATCGTACCCCTATGATAATTTGAAATTCCTCAAGTAAGTTTGGTAGTGTAGCTTTTCCACACGAAATGTACAAACGGTGAAGAGGAAAGTAAGTGCAATAGATCAGCATTGGTTGTTTAATCTTGTCGATGAGACTATAGGGTGATTTTCTAAGCTTCCTTTGCTAATTATTATTGGACGTGATAGCATGCATATTCATGCATGAAAAATTAGCCTACAAAGCCAGGCCAACTGTTAATTTCATTCTGGTGTTTTAGTTTTAGATATCAACACCATCTTGCCTTTTTTGACATATTTGATCGTATTCTAAATCAAGACATGTTTGCAGTAAGTCAGTTAAGTGTTAGTGTACCAGTTCAGGTGATGCAGATTTCAAGTCCTTTTTGAAATTTAGTCACTAAGCAAATGCCCTACAGCTTCATTTATGAATCGAAATTGAGGTTATATGCGATAATACCAACGATAGAGCAAATTTTCAATTATAATCGGGAAAATATCATTAAAGACTCATTGCTAACAATGAGTCATTGCAATACGTAGACATCCCATAATGCATTTTCCGACTATCTAAAATTAATTTTCGTTAATCCGTAGAAAATTACTGCCATTGTTTGGACCGTCGCCACGCTCGCAAAGGCCCATTGTTAGCAATGAGACTTTATGACAGTGGCCGATTCACCTAATGAAATTCTGAGTAAAGTTAGCTCGATTAGATATTGCTAAATTACTTAAAACATCTTGTTACTTCCATCTTCAAAATCTTCACGGTAACTGCTAATTGTAAAAGAAAGCTACCAGTTGCATTTTTACATCTTGTAAATTATATGGAAATTTGATTGGTTTCTTTTAGATGTAGCTTTTAATTCCTCTGCAACTGTCTATAGCATGTCTTTGATAAGTTTCAATTGAACAAGTCTTTATTCGTTTCTATGTCAAACATCTTAGTGCAGTGTACTGCTAGACTTAGTGCCAGTCAAATCCTTTATAATGCCCCATTTGACATTCTTCTTACCAAATAGATTGCCAAAAGCCATACAGCTTTGTTTTTAACGTTTTGGTACTGCAAAATTTGAAGATTGTACGAAATAGCAGATACACAGCTACTTACGTACTCTTCATATGACACACTTCAGAGTATAGGTGTCGGATAATGACCGAAAGTCAGCAGAAAATTTATATCCAGGTATGGTCCAAAAGTAACCCAAAAGGGGAAAAGGCAAAATCACAATATGATTGTCCGATGTTTTATCCACATATTATATGGTTCCGCTCTTTCGTGTTACTTTCAAATTTCGCAGTTTGTTTTTGCTTTTTGATCATTACTTGTAAACAGGTGCACATCATATTGTGCTGCATTGATACTGCTTTATTGCAACTCTTGAACCTAAAACCTGTTAAATGATAATTTTTGGCGAGATTCATTTCATATTTTCTATAATATTTGTACTGTGCTAATCTTGGATATTGCATTTCCAGGATATGATGCGAATAGTCTGCGCAAGGAAGCTCGCAGGTTAAAGCAATCCTTATCGGATGACCACGTCAACACGCACTTTATTGAAGAATCAAATTTCCAGACAATTTGTCAAATGTTGGAGGTCCTGGTGCTCGATAAACGTCGACGATTGATAGATTATATCTTACAACAAGAAGAGTTCGTGAAATGCTCGTGGGGTAGGGAACACGATAGATATAAACAGTCATTGGTTGAGAGCTGCAATAGAAGGGATAGTGGTCTTGGGAATAGGTACGTCGTTTGTGCTATGAATATTTGAAACTCTATAAGAAAATTTGCAAAGATCTAAGAAAGTATAATTTTGCAAGAAAAACGCAGGTAGCTTGTAATTTCATCCGTTGTTTTTTATGTTTTACTGCAAGTCAAAAATTGCATCTTTACATTGTAATTTCTTTATTACCGCTGCTCAGAATCTTCTTTATAAGCTTAAAGCACAGAATGGTTGAAAAATTTGTAAATATATATATTATATAAAAATCCTTGTCCTATAAACGCAGTTATTCAAGAGCTTTCATTAAAAACGTCACAAATATTTGCTATTGAAGCTAACAGATTGATTTTGAAAAATCTCTTTGCTTCTAGATTTTGCAATTATGCGTAGAAAAGTTTTAAAATTGCTGAATTTTAGATCATCTTCGGAACCAAAAAGCGATCATGAGGAAGACGCCATGATGTCAGTTATGCATAATCGTCTGGATCCAAAAAGAAACAATAATGGTCTCGTTTCAAAATCATCCAGCGGGTACTTTGAGCAGGAAAAATTTCCAGACGATCGTCACATGCACGTTTCAAAGTCTGATCTATATAAAAGACAGCATTCGGACGATTGCCATTCTGAAAGAAGTGGAAAGTCGAATAAATCGTTGGGTCGACCTCATTCTGGGCTTGAAGCTGAATTTTCTTCTGATTATGTTGCTGGAAAGTTTGGACGTAGTGAGGCAACCGGTACATTTTATGATCGAGCAAGATCAGTTACAAGTGATGCAGCGTCAGGTAAGGAACATAGGCAACAGGGGTGGCGCTAGAGACAAACCTTCAAGGTGCTGAAGTTTATATTCTCCGTAACTGCCGACGCTGGATGTGTCAAATTGCCGACAGAAAAAAAAATCGATTTGCCCCATATAGCAGGCAGGGCCGTCGCGAGGCAAGCCTCGTTTGGGGGGGGTGGTGTGGAATGCAAATTTAACTAATGTAACTCAAACAATCTAACTCTGTATGATAATAACCGACTTTCCTAATAGTCTTGTCAAATCTCTATATCGGGACGGGCAAAATATATAGTTACTACCTGAGGCGGCACCATGGTTGCCGCCGAAGGGACAGGAAATTTTCGAATTGTGATGCTTCTACAATCGTGGCCAAAACTCCTTGACACTGATTTAAAAATTCGGCATGTTATCAATTGTTCCCAAGAAAAATGAGGACATATCAATTTCTCCCCTCCCCCTATATCAATGTTGGTGTCGTTTGAGAGCTAAATGTCCCAGCATTCGATTTTAGCCCATACAAACACCCCAACATTGATGTAGGGGGTAGGGGATCACGTTGAATAAGAACCCAATTGCATTTGGGAAGCAGTCTCACGAGTTTTGGCCAGGATTGTCTTTATCATGGCTGGGCATGTTTGTTATTTTAATGTTATCATAAGAATAGATTGAGGAGGATTCTGCTAAATCAAAGGCATGCATTTGATTTAGTGTGAAATTCATGTGCAGGAAGTTGCGTGCCATGTATTAATTGTCTCAACTTTGCCAGGATGTAGCTAATTTTGTACAAATGTACTATATATCGGAAATTGTATCAGGTTGTTACAGCCATCCATTCATAGAGGCATTCATAGTTCCCTGGAAAATGCACTCTTTTAAGCAGATTTCTCTTAAGCAATCCTCCTAATCCTATTGAAAATTATTGCCTTTTTGCAAAACTATTTTACAGCAGATAAAAACAACAATTTCGCCGTGGTCTTGAAAAATACCAGGTTGTCAGTTACTTTTAAATTTAGATTCCTCTCTCCATCTTAGCATGCCTTATGAATGTTAAGAAAAATTTGGAGCTCATAGTGAATTGCAGTTGACGCTTCTACTGAGAAACTTTAGGAGAAATGGACACGAGGCACAATTTTACCTAAGATTGCTTGATCCTTTATTGATTTTATGACAGGAAGTTCTCTGAAATACCTAAAGCGTTTCTTCCACCGAGCGGATTTTACCTGAAATTTCCTATTGAGATAGTATTGGGGTGGGTGTGACAACCTCCCAGTCGCGACGCCCCTGAGCAGCACCTCCAATGAAAGGGCACCGATATAGAGCATTTTTCCAAAATCGTTTGTTGTGGGTGCAAAATTCTCCCTTTCAAAATTCCCCCTCCCCGCCCCCACTTTCCAACCTGTGTCGGAGTCCACGAGATTTTCTCGGCAATTTGTGCCTTGTAAGAAACTTAATGCGCAAATATTGCCTATTGTTGAATATTTCTTCCTATCTATGTTGGAAGAAGTTAATCGACGGTTTTCTCTAAACCATTTGTTTGTCGCGAGCTATGCGGTGAACAATGCTACTGAAAAATAGTTGATGAAAAAGGACAAGAAGTGCTTTTTGAAAAATTTATTACGCAAAATGTGCTCATGATCGAAATGTTTTCTTTTGCAATAATAATGTCTTGAAACGAAAAGAGAATCTCTCAAGAAGAAAATTCATTAAAGACTTTATTTATGACAGCGTGATTTTGCTGAGATTTCCTTGAAACGATCCAAAACATGATCCAAATCAAGCATCTCTGCACGTTTCGCATGAATTCCAAGCAGCAACAGGGATTTCAACCGAGAGGAGCACGATGGTATTGTGGGTCATGCGAAGGAGCACCATGAAATTAAGTCACAGCTTTCACGGAAGCGACAGGATATAATGCCACTATGATAGAAAAATTGCTGAAGAAAAGCCATTGAGAAAACCATAAACCAGCCAGTGCAGTTTTCTCCTCGATTATTTATGTCATTCAAACAACATGTAAACCGGGTGACATCCATCAAGTGCCGACGGTATTGAGAAAGCAAAAATTGATTGGCTGCCGACGGGGGGGCTAACAAAAATCTAGGGGGGGGGGGCTAAAGCCCCCCTTGCCCCCCATGCCGCCACTCCTGATAGGCAATGCCTTACATGTTAAAGTCCTCAAATTATAAACTTCGGATAATGGCTCTAATGAACTGACTTGTAGTGACTTTGCTGAGGACTGTTATCTCATTCATTCCTCCAAGTTCTCACACCACAGCGCAGGCATCCACAATATCACTCGCTATATCAAGTACCATATCAAGTAAATTGACACACAGTATTATTTTGGAAACACTCGTTCCTTAACCTTCTTCATTTTTAAGTAATGGCCCTACAGTAAATGTCAAGAATGGCACATTCTTAGAGCCAATTCTTGATTTCTTTGGACAGATTTTTCAGGCCAGGACACATGGCTGGATGCCAAAAAATCGAAGAAGCCAGGGCTCATTGGATATGGCAAATAATAGCTCTACATTATTGCGGATGTTTTTACGATTACTGTGCCATTGAAAAATGTCTTAAAAAATTGCTATACTGGAATGGAAAAAGACGCAACAAAATGTACTTGGAAATCTGACTCAAATTCTTTAATACGAGTTAGTAAGGGGACATTTTATATTAACAAAATGCTTTGTTTTGACAGCTGATACAAGCCAAGTGGGATTTTAGCTGTGTAAGATCAAATCATGAAATGCAACGTATCAGCCCTTCTTTTGATTTATAAATATTACTAATTTGGACACAAGGAAATCAAGGGTTTTTTAAATATGAAACTGAATGGTCTTGAAATTTAAACGCTTCTCTAAATTCGCAAAAGTTATACAACCCATTTTTTATTTTCTTCATTTATGAAGCACCAAGATGGTTTCGGCGATTAACTTTCTGCTGTGAATGCTGAGATAGAATGTGGAATGATCTCTCTTGTATTGTTTATCGGCGATGCAAGGTGTCAACGCTCATCATTTTTACAACTTTGTCTATTTGTTCTTAATTCATGTACAATTGCAAAGTTTTGTCTTTGCAGCAAAGAGTTGTCGGACCTCATCTCTCAGCAACGACAATGTTGCCGATAGGAAATATGCTGCTTCGCACGGGAGCAATAGACTAAGTGCATCTGCAGAGCATATTTCCCGCAGGAAATCGCGAGATGACCGCGTGGCATCTGCAAGGAGCGAAGATACACTCAGAAAGCGTAAAAGTTGCGACAGATCAGTTGATGGCGGAAATGTAACCCAAGAGGCACAGAGCAGCCCTCAAAGGTCACCTGGCCCAACAGATGGACAGAATAAATCTGTTTTTTCCTCTTTCATCGATGGTGTTAGAAATTTAGCTAGCCGACTGTCAGAGCGAACAGGTATGGTTAGACTTTAAGTTTATTCAATCGTGTCTTGACACTTTGACGCACAGTGATACATTAATGTACTCAATTTATGCAACGGTTTCATGTTCAGCCTAGTCTACAGTGTTATAAGAATGACGTAAAAAAAGTCAATTTTTAGATTTTCGACTTTTGATATTATAACATAAAAGAACATCATGAAATACCTCCAGATTAACTCAATAAGTTAGTTCAATATGTTAAAAATTAAGCGAGATATAACTAATAAAAGTTTTAAAGTTTGCTAAAAGATTGTGCTTAAACCCTGATGCATTATCATATTGCAATAAATTTTCTCAAATAAAATCTGCCAAGTGAAATAATTATCAGTTTTGCAAAAAAGGGAACTATGTTGACAACATGACATCTATGACCGAGGCCGAAAATGGTTTTGACGTCAATTCCAAGTGCCACGAAAGCGAGAATGAAAAAATTGAACTCAATGACCAGTTTACAAACTTTTATAACTACACAACGGTAAGAGATGAAAGCAGGATGAGAAATGAAAGCAGGTTCGTAACAGGCGGTCTGATTTCGTCATGCTCTTGAATACAATTTAAAATAACAATTTAGAGCTGGTGTGGCCCTTTAATATCAAGACAAAACAATGTCATTTTTGCAAATGCTAATACCTAAAGTATTTTAACGTTATCTGGACCAAGCTTTTATGAGCCTCCTAATTGGTTAGCGACAGGAGGTTGAGACTTGGACATCATTATCTTCTTCTTCTAAAATTTCGATTTGGAAATTTTCGCGTCAATATAATCAATAATGACGTCTTAATGACATCATCAATACATTTCAATTTAGCAAAAAAATCTTCAAGATTCACATTAAGTAACAGAACGTAGTTTTATGTAGGTTTTGCGAAAAGATAGAAAGACAGCTTATCACAAACTATGATAAAAGCAACAAAAATTTTTTTTTACGTATACACAGTCAAACGTATCAATTTTATGATGAAAATATTCAATTGTGTTTAAATCCTGGCTACAGGCATTCTGCTGAAAATCCAGCTCAGAAACAAAGGATGGATCAAAACAAATGTATCATTTTGAGATTCATATCAAATTTTGCCGACGCAATTCTGAAAGTATTTTTCAATCTTTTTAACAACAGCAAAATGTGTCTTTCAATTCACATTATAGATGAAAGAAGTTTCATTAAATTATTACATTGGATATGGAAGCTAAAGAGCATTATATATTGTCTATAAAGTACCCTTTCAAAAGCTAATTGCTATGGCAACAATTAACAGGATATTATTTTCAAAATTGCATCATAATATCGAAGGATAATTTTCAGGAAAATTCATTAAGGCTTGACAGTATTTCTTTGCTCCGATTTTAGCGTGTGCATAGAAAAATGAGAGGAGGCCTAAATTATTCCCACCCCGTGGATCAAGATAGGGTTAAGAGATCTGAGTTCTGGAACTAGGTTTCTGACAGAGGGCAATTGATTTCTACAAAAATTAAAGTAGAAAGGAGTCTGCATAGTGCTGCCAAAGTGAATGATGGACAATTCAGCTTAAGCAGAAACAATTTACATGATTACTTTGTTTTTTTGGAACTCTTCTTTTTTTAATAGCCTTGTTCCGCAGTAATTGAGTTTTTGAGAAAATTTTCTGTCTGTGTCTATGCGGGTGGGTATTTAGGTAAAATATATTTTCACTTCATGTCTTGAGAATAGATATCATATCATTCATTTATCTGAAATTGACAATGTTGCGATTGGATGAGCAATTTCTCAGTCTGGTTTGCATAAAAGTTTATGGTAGACTATTCCGAACAGTCGATAAAGAAAATTCCTCAAATTGATTTTAGTTCTGTAAAGATTATACTTTCACAAAAGTGATTAACAGGAATTCACAAGAAATGTTCCTAGTGATGCCCGAAACTTTTTCTAATTAACTAGAATTTGTTTCAAACAATTCAACCTGAATTTTGGCTTGTAATTTTCTAACTGAGAGTTATCCAAACAGCTTCAATTAATTTCGGCATTGCAATTTTTACTAGAAATTATCTATTCCGTGTGCAAGCTTATGAATTTATCAAGAAATTTTTTCTTGAAAAAATGGTCCTTCTAATGCTCTCATCAATTTGCTTTGCTTCTTTCTTTGACGCCAACGATAAGCTTCACTACCGTCAGATGATCTGCAAAATAAAATGAGTAAGATTTCCACTTACTTATATGCCTGGATCACTTGCTCGTCAGTTTTATGAATGTCAAAGATTTTTAAGCGCATAGTGATTATCATGGTCAGTAATGTTGCCCAAAATACATTCCTGGTATCATAGCTTCTGAACGATCAAAAATAGGCCTAAATCTTGCTGCAAGGCAAGTATGTTGTCATATTCTTAAATTCTGATTGGCTAATGAGGTATAGAGAAATTTGGTCGCTCAGCCAGTGAAAGATTTGAAACCTATGCTATTTCTTGCCAAATTTAATAGTTCAAGCCTTGCTTAAATTGCTGCAATCAACCAGCAATTTACAGTTTATATTTAAATTCAATGAAACAATGGCTTAGGAAAGCAAACGACGCAAGACATTATTTGGATAGCTCGCTTTTGCAAATGTCTATCAAAAATTAGTTGATGATAAATAGGCCAAAGACGTTCTCTTCACCGTGCCTAAAGCATTAAGAAATGAAGAATTGCTCCCCAATCATTACTATTTTAAATTTTTTCTTATGAAAAAATATGTGAGCTGCATTTAAGATATCTTAGTGTAAAAAGTAATTTGTTGTTAACACGCTAAAGCTCTTTATATACATACATAGATTGAAAAATATAAAAGAAAATAATTTTGAATAAGGCTTTGTACATAGCCTTAACATCACAACTTTGGTGAGTCATGCCTCTTTCACATTAATTCAACCTCCACCCCCACAAGATTTCATGGCTTTTAATTCCGCTTAAGTGTTTTGCTTGAAAAATAGATGCAAACTAAATTATACTATGTTTTGGGCATTCAAAAAAGCAAAAAACAGTGAAATATAATGTTTTATTTTGGCCTTTTTAAAAGAATTATAAGATTTTAAGAGATAGACATTGTTATGACGATGAGATTTTGAAAACAAAAGTAGCATTTGATAAGGATGTGCATCCTGAATGCATCAGGGAAGATATTAAAAAGCTTCAATTGATTGAACTTGGTTTGGTCATAAAGACCCTCCTAGTGAGATTAACAAAATTATTTTTGAATTAACCAGAAATTTCTTCCACGAAACTGGTCGGTTCAATTGAGCCTATTTCAAAATTATTAGTCACTTAGTCCCTATCTTACTTCCTTTGTCTTGTTAATTGTTTTCTAGTTATGTAAAACATTGTTAAGATATAATCTAAATTTGAATGTGTTTAGTTCTGTAAAACGTGTTTATATCAATATGTAGTTCAGTGCCGTCGGAACGAAATTCATATTGGGGAAGGGTGGGGGGTTGTGTGGGGGGGGCTGCCCATTGTTTTCTTTCTCATTCATTACACTGTTATAAAGGAAACATACTGCAGTTTGACAATTATTGGCCTGTAGTTAATTTTGTTTCTGTTAGTCTTTATGTAATGTCCCCGGGGTAGGCGTTATCGCTTGCTCCCTGGGGTATCGTCCTTGAAGTGTAGTAAAGTAGTTAAAGTAATGTATATATGTATCTCATTAGTGTAAGATTTTATTGAGCATATGAAAAGAATTTAATCTTGCTGAATAATACATTCTTTCCCCTTCATATCCTCAGACCAAGGAACAAGTAAGGAGACAAACAGCAGAACAGCAATTTCAGGAATCTTCTCACGGCAGAACACTGGGGATACAAAGTCGAGCAAAGGAGCTTTGGAGAGGCAGAGCTCAGCAGCTGATTTTGAAGGAAAGGCCAGCAGAAGTGGCACAACAAAGTCAGATGAGACAAGACCAGATGATCGCATTCATTCTAAAAGGAGACAGGTAAACGAAAAAATTACAGTTGTAGAAAGTGCAGAAAACAAAGCATTTCTAGATTGTTGCTTGATTATAGCTCTTTTGGTTTCAAAATTATCCTTTTAGATCAAGAAGTAAAGAAAAGAAAAATTTCCTTCTTTATTTGCTCCAACGCTGTCTACATCAGTCAATCGAAGAAAACTTTTACTGTGCCTAAAAAATCCTAAAGACAAATCAACATAAATATATGATTTTGTACAAACAGATGTATTTTCTAACTTAGTTGCTTGCTAGCTATTTGACCTGTCTTTGACAATAGATGACTTATCCCACCGCCTTTCTTTATTTATTTACTTTTCATCAATAGAGCTACGGCTCAGGGACCGTGGAGCGTTGAGAAAAGTGTGGGGTTTAAAAAAGTGCGGGAGCTAAAAATGAATAAAGAGAGGCTTTTGCAAAAAGTGGAGAGGGTAAGAGAGGCTAAAGCCCCCCCCCAGCCTCCTGCTCCACGTTGCCTGTGGCTGTAACACGCAACAAGTAAAAGTTTGTTTTTTACGAATGAACCATTCGTCCTAAATCTCTGGAAGGAAAAGAAAAAACCACGTTGCATGGTTTTTTCTAGCCGCCAGAGCATTAGATTCGACTTTGGTGCCACTACACCAAGTCGAATCTAATGCTCTGACCCCCTTTCACAATCTATGCAAGACATTTATAGCCACAAATTTTAATCTTGCTCTATAAAGTTCATATAAACAGTATAACAGACATTTGCTATATCCAGGGGTGAACATGACTCATTTTTTCTGAATTTTCTGAATTAACCGTGGAATGCCTTGTCTAATGACTGTAAACGAATATCTTTTATTTACCTGTAGGAGTGGGTATTATTTTTTATAGTAAAGCACATTTGAGGTATCATATTCTATTTTCAGCCAAAAACTATGATTTTATGATTGTAATATCATTTGTGACAAAAATTTCTTGCAAGAGGGTAGCTAAATCAGTTGCAGATATAATTTCAAATATAATTTCAAATGCAGTTGCAGAGTATTGGCCGATTAGCCAATAGCATGTCTTTAGACAAGCAGAGTGAAAAACTTCCAGTCAATCGCCAGTCATCAATGAAGTATGCAAAGCCACTGCTAGAAAGGTCAAGGACAATTAGCTCGTCTTTTATGCATGATTTGGGCGATGGGGAGGAGATCAGTGGAGACAACGTTGCATTAAACCCAAACCAAGGGATGATTTACCTGACAGGAAATGTAGGGAGGCGCCTTTTCAAGAGGCTTATACCGTTTAAACTTGCTCTAGACCAGGGTAAGTTAGTTGCCATATTACTTTTGTTAACGGATTTCGAACTTAGATTTGCATGTTTTTGTCGATGGAAGCTGCTAGATATGGCGCACGAATAGTTGGATTTTTTTTATCTCACTATAGGTAGATTGGTGTTTTCAACAACTTTTCAAATGCTGACAGTCAACTAAGAATGACGTCTTGATAGATTAATGTTATACCTGATCTAGTAATATCAACAAATCATCATTTGATTCAGTTTTTTGTTGCTGTGATAAAATTTTCAATTAAAATTTGCCCAATAATGCTGTCCATTTTAGTTTTTTTGAATTTTTTCTTCTATTTTCCAAGTTAAGAACTCCACATATTTTGCAGTCCTTTTGCTTAAAAAATATCTCTGACTCTTGATTATGAAAAATGCTTTTGAGAAATTCGATATGGGCAAAAGATACGCAGAAATTATTTTCCAAGCCTGAATAGATGTAAAATTGTAACTATACAAATTTTTTGATCTGAGGAGTGCTGGACAAGAAGTTCTTCAAGTATATTGTACAATATAAATTATTTTCCGTGCTGTTTAAAAGTTTTTGAGACCAAAAGCTTGTCTCTTTCTTTCCTCTTTCATGATTTTCAATACTAATTGCGCTGATTTCTTGCAACTTGTAAAAATTTTGCAATGATTTCGTGTAATTATTGGTTTGTTTCTCTAAGAGAACAGCACAGAGAAACCATTTGAGCCGACCATCCACCAGCTGGCAGCCAAGTCAATTATCCTGGATCTTGAGCGGCAACTAGAAGAGAACACATCATTGAACATCGATGGCAAGGAATATATCACGACATTAATTGGCGAAGTAAGCAGATCAGCAAAAGTGGCTTCCAAATACTCAGTGCTTGTTGTTATAGACGACAAATGCAAAGAGCAAGAAGCTGTTTTCATTAAGAAATTCTCTAAACGTCGAGGGTAAGTTTTTGCGGATTTTTAGGTCTTCAAAATAATACCTGTAACTTAATGCTAAAACACAAATAGAAAAATGAGCTATGACAAATTGTGTACTTGAACTTTGAAATCTCAAGCTTTGTAAATAACTTGAAGCTCACCAAGTTGGCACTTAATTTAGCCTGCATCACAGACAATATTCTGAAGGAAAATAACTTTAACTTTATTAAGAAGAAGAGATCATATTCATTCATATCGATCGTATGAGCCTAACGGAGATCCATGCACTATAACTATATTTATTGTTGTTTCTTAGAATATTTCCGCTTTATACTTATAAATGGATTTGAAAAAAGCAAACATTTAGTAAACTAAAGCTTTTCGTCTGACACTTTTCAGAGTTGAAAACGTCAGAACATAAATCGAAAAATCTACGCTAGGAAACCGCTACTGTGTAGACAAAAGGAGTTCGTTTTTACCTTAGGACACCAAAGGACAACGTTCTCAATAGGCAAGCGGCACTGATTGGTCAATCTCAACAGTCATGTGCTCGTGTTTCTGATTGGCCTATTTCGTTCCACAACTGGGTTTATATGTTTCCTAGCGTAGAGTTTTCGATCTTTGTTCTGATGTTTTAAACTCTGAAGAGTGTAAGACGAAAAGCTTTAGTTTACTAAATGTTTGCTTTTTTGAAAGCCATTTTCAAGTTTTGTATCACGAAAAGATTGTTTCTTTATACTTATTTTGCAACAAAATCCGTATACGATTGGATTGATTCCCTTTGAGCCGTTTATTCTGATACTTTTGAATCAGATTATTAATTTTACTTTGCCATCGACATTACTTAATTTTTTTTCTTTTCTTCCAAGCAGACGCTCTCTTAGTCACCGTAGTATGCCAAATACATCTGAATTACAGGCAGAATCGCCACCAATGTATGATATCCAAAGAAAAGAAGTCAAACAGATCGAGTTTGGCAACAAAACTCACAAAATAATGACAACAAAATTTACATTGTTTACTCCAAAACCACCTGAAAATTCAACACTGCTGTCTCCAGCCTCGGCATCACGCCACACGTTACTTGTGCAGAAGAGGTTGTTTGAATCATCGGGATACATGAAAATGGTTGACATCCAATGCTCAGATGGATTTTGGTAAACATATTGAAATGAACTAAAATTGATGATAATGGGATACAAAATAGCAATGAAATAGACCTTAAATATAAGTTCTTCATCGATTTGATCTTTAGACTTACTTACAAAAGTTTACAAATGGTAACAAATGTCTACAAATGAGACCGTGCACCAGTCTAAATGTGGGAGGGCTGAAAAGGGCGTGACAGAAATTTTTTGAGGCTACGCCCACTAGAACGCCGGAAAATGCCACTTTTTGAAAGTACTGGCTTATTTCTACTGGGGTTTTATAAACAATCTGGTTCAAAGAAGATATCAATAGCTACATAAAATTAAGCTATAAAATAAAGATACATAAAATTAGCTTGGGGATAAAAAAACAGCAAGAAAAACATCTAAAAAATGAACAAAAAGGGTTTCCAGTCAAGAAAAACTGCTAGACCTTAGGAGTATACTATCCAATGTTGCGTTAGAGCATAGTTAGAGTAAACTTTCCAAAATATTTTCTAACCTATCATTGCAAAAATGTGGAGGGGCTATAGCCCCTGCTAGCCCAATGGCTGCGCGGTGCCTGTTTCATAATAGTTAATTGTTGTTTCAAAGCAAGAATTAAAATAAGTTGGCACGAATGTGTACATAGCTGTATAGATAAACATTGACATATTGAGACCTATGGGGCTGTGTTTTAATTTTGTATCATTTAATCTCGAACAGGATGTTGAACGAGGAGCTAGCTGACGTCATCCCTGCCCCATTGGCAAAACTCAGGCAAAGCTGTCCTTTTGTGGACCCCACCTTCGACCTTAACAATGACAAAGAGATCCATAAAGGACTGGAGCTCAGCGAAGTTTACGAAAAAATCTGGGCAACATCTCTGGCAGTTAAATGGCTGTTGCGTTCTTGGGCCCAATATAAGGCAGAGTGGGATCTTGTAATACAGAAAGCAAGTAAATGGATGAAATTTCAGAGATTGCCTGCAGGTTTTGGAATTGATGATATCAATCTCATGGCTCAGCAGTCTTTAGGAGTCATGTTAAGTAACTCAAGAAAGTCTTCAAATCATTAAAACTGTCGGCTGTTGGCTGCTAGAGTTATGTGCACATTGGTTCATCTTTAACTTTGCTTTAAATAACATTAAGAGATAGTAAGAAAACCATTAATAGACAAGTTGTTTTCCTCTTTGTGGCTTCTCAGCCTTAAACGAAATAAAAAGAAAAGTAGTTTTGTTGCATAGCTATGGTGGCCCACAAGGGTCACGGAACATATCCATAATTTCCACAGCAAACATTCTTTTTTCAGATAAACTTTCTCTCACATTCACGGCACACATTCTTTCACATTCACGGCAACTTTCTGTCATATTCACGGCACACATTCTCTCATATTCACGGCAAACTTTCTCTCACATTCACGGCAAACTTTCTCTTATATTAATGACAAACTTTCTCTCACATTCACGGCAACTTTCTGTCATATTCACGGCACACTGTAGCGATGTCAGGCCGGGACCGTCACTCTGATGCAAATTGTACCCCTCATGTCAAATATGTACCTGACGGGTCGAATTTTCAAACATGAAAGAAGTAAAGAAACCAATCAAACTAATAGATGACTATCAGAGGCGCAGTGGCTGGGGGGGCAGGGGGGACAGCCACCCCCCTGGCAAAAATTTTGTCGGATAGTCGGAAAATCCAACGTTTATCGGAAAATTTGAAATATTAGACAAAATGTAAGGTTTTCATCGATCCTGTCCAAAAGGTCGCATATTTTTTTAAACCTGTCGTAAAATAGGGCATGCTCAACCCTTCTTACCTATTTTCATTAGAATATTTGTCGGAATCTTCACATTGCTGAAATTTGTAAAGGAAATTAACGCTCTGGTCTCAGTTATTTTATAAACTCCCATTTCCGACAGTTAAAATTCAACTCAGTTCATTTCGAAATGAATTCGCTGGTGTTGTAGAAGACGCAAAAAGTTATTGTTTTCGCCATGACTTAGAAGAGCAAAATTTTGTCGAGCGACGAGTACGCAAAAAGAAAAAGATGCCAGGGGAAAATTGCATGGATGGATTTGAAGAAAATAGGGAATCCGTATATCATCGTGATAGTGGATACAGCTATCAGCTCAATGAATACAAGATTCACGTCTCATAAGGCAAATTTGACAGATTTTGCCTTGCTCAACACATAATGTTTTCAAAAAAAATTGAAAGGCAGTTGTGTGCAGTGTCATTCAAAAAGGTTGCGAAGAATTGCGGCCTGGATGACGAAAAATTAAGAGATAAGTACAGCTTTTTCATCAATAATTACCGTAAATTTAGGAAAGTTAGAGAGAAGAGCAGCCCTCAGCCGGCTGCAGGAGAAAGTCTTGATTTAAGCCCCGGCAAAACCACTCGATTTTTCACTCGATTTGTCGAGCAAGTTGATTGGCGTCGAGTGATGGAATTAATCAAAAGAAACAAAATTTTGTCTGAAAATAGTAATTTATTTAAACGAAATAAGTATTTAATGGCGGTTCCTGCATGGAACGGACGAACAGGGTCTTATGTCGCTCGAGTTCGTCAAGAGATTGTAAAAGGATATTTGCACGCAAGATAAACACGGCAGCCGATTTGCGTTTCTTTGCCTTTATTTTTTTGGCGTGAGTGAAAAATCGAATGAAAAATCGAGCGAAAGATCGAATCGTTTGGCCACCCATACTTGACTTCGCTCGATTTTGAGATCAAATGTCGAGAGAAATATCGAGCGAAAAATCGAATCGTTTGGCTAAGGCTTTGAATAGAGAAAATTTCCATTCAGTTCTTCAGCTGAAGATAAGTACAACCTGCAAAGTGCCTTTCCACAGCTGGTCCTTCTTTACAAGGTTCTCGTCACTTTGCCAATAGGTTCAACAAACTATGAAAGAGCTTTTTCAAAGCTGAGGATTGTAAATAATAAGAGAGGATTTATGTATTCGGCAACTCAATAATAACTCTTATTTTTCTCAAAAACGCCGAACTCTTCATATTTAAAGGAACGAAAACGCTTTACGTGTACAATTAGATTGGTAACATAATTTCTTGCTGAAAATAAACGAAAATCTAGCTTTTATCGTTCCGCCATCAAGTCCTTTTGTCTCCCCGAAGTCCTTTTGTATTTCCTTATCCTTCTTGATTGCTAAAGTTCAGTGAGGCGTAGTTTAGACAGCGCGTTATGGGCGCAGCGAATTAATTTGGTTTTAGACATCGAAGCGAATTGAATTTAATTTAGACAGCAAAAGCGTATTTTTGGCGCCAAATTTGTTTTCGTGGTAAAATGAACAAGAGCACATTTTGTTCTAGACCAATCAGCGAGTTTGTTTACAAAATGTCATTAGCCAATCACCTGCCTTCATTTCGAGCTTGATTTTTCAATATTTCAAACCAAAACACAGTTGCTGTGGAGAAAAACCTACCCCTATACTTTTGCCCGGGAAAAAAATTTACGTTTTTCTACGAAGAAGATTTTTCAAACTTAGTTTCTAGAGTATTTGTTTCGTACAAATCTCGGAGCCCTAAGCAGAAACACAAACGGTGTCTAAAATATCTGCACTGAAACATCACCTATTTCCCACTAGAGACCTACCTCCAAAAATGCCCAGCCCCTAATTTACTTTATATGAAGCTTTCGTTAATTAAACAAGGAAACATTTTAAGATTTAAGTTACCTGATAGTTTGCGCAAGCAAATCACCCAGCTATCACTTGGGAAAAATGTATTTTCTTAAAAAAACTAGGCTTTATAATTGCCTATTCCCTCCTCTACACTACCGCACGGGATGCCTAGGCCCTTTCTGAACATTCCTCCTGAGCATCACAGTCAATGAAACTGAAACCACTTTTGTGAAACCATTAGACATCAGTCTATAGTTTGAAGCCAAAAAGGCCAAAATAGTGGCAATACTTTCAATTCAATTTTTGAGAGATATCATCTTTTTAAAAAGTAACAAAGACCCACTTTTCCTGGAAAGTCTCAAAGCCTTGAAACCTTACTGATACCTGCTAAAAGGTTTTTAGAACAATGCATGATAACTTTAGAAATATCTTTGCTAAATCACATTTAGTTGTTTGAGAACCAATATGATCAAATTGGCCTTGAATTAAAATTTATTCTCGTACCGATTTACTTCAGCAAAACTTGCCTCTGTAAATGAATTATGTGGCTTTATGACCATAGTTCTAAATGATATTTCTGCTTTGTAAGAACGTTTCAGAACTGCTAGAATGTTACCAAATGCTGTGCTTGTTTTCTAATCGGTCGGTGACATCTATACATGCATGTATTTATCCCAACTGAAAGAAAACACTTTGAATTTCTCTTTTTTCAAAAGCTATTTGTCTCAAGAAGAAGTAAACTTGTAAAAAATTACTATGTTTCATGGGCCATGTACACTGTACCTACAAGTATCTGTACTTGCAATAAAATAAGCCTTTCTTTGCACAACCTTTTGAGATTTCTATGTAAACTCACAGATACTTAACTTTATTCTTGGGTGTCCTAAGACTGCTCATTTTCCTCTGTGTTATTAATAAACTGCTCATTTCCTTATGTTATGAAAGAATTGGTCAAATATCTTGGTCCAAATTTTTTGTACTTCAACGGAGACCATTGTGTATATGTTACAAGAGAACTCAATCCATATAGAATTTTTCGAAAGCCTCCAAGTCCATCTTTTCGAAAGCCCATCTTTTCGAATTTTTCGAAATTTCCAAGTCCATCAATTCATTGCGGCAATGCTCAATCTAGTGCACGGAAAACCAATGCTGCAGTTTTGTCAAAACCACACTTCGTCTCCTTGAATGCAAACACTCCCCTCACGAAAGTATCAGGACAGTTCAACAATCGATTTCCTTTTCAGACAAAGACAAATTCAGGCTGATGATAACGACTCTTTAATTTAGTGATAATAATTTTTTGAGAAACCCTTACAAAATGAAACAAGTCATCAAACTGTTGCAAAACTTCTGCTCTTTTAATCTGTTATATATTTTTTCTTAAAATAAGAAACCTTTGCTTTACTTGTCTTACGCAAATCAACGGATGTCAAATGTCAGGTGACTGGGATTCATTTTCGTTTCCTTCGCTACCAGCTTGACAAAAACCCTCACAAAATTTACTTACACATGGATAAAATAATTTTTTTAGACAAATAAATAGTTCAAAGGCCAAAGAAACTTATTGAAAAATTCAAGGAAATTCAGAAAACAGTTTTGCAATCAAAAATCTATAAATTGTAAATTCGAAACTTTCCAGATACTTTCGTGAGGGGAGTGAGTTAACAAAATTTTCGCTATTGGCAATATGATCAAATGCCTTGAAAGGACGTTCGGCTGAAAATAGCTTTGAAACGACCAAAGGCTGATAATATATCACTTGCCACAAAATTCAAGACCAATTTGATCATATTGGTTCTCAAACAACCAAATGTGATTTAGCAAAGATATTTCTAAAGTTATCATGCCTTGTTCTAAAAACCTTTTAGCAGGTATCAGTAAGGTTTCAAGGCTTTGAGACTTTCCAGGAAAAGTGGGTCTTTGTTACTTTTTAAAAAGATGATATCTCTCAAAAATTGAATTGAAAGTATTGCCACTATTTTGGCCTTTTTGGCTTCAAACTATAGACTGATGTCTAATGGTTTCACAAAAGTGGTTTGAGTTTCATTGACTGTGATGCTCAGGAGGAATGTTCAGAAAGGGCCTAGGCATCCCGTGCGGTAGTGTAGAGGAGGGAATAGGCAATTATAAAGCCTAGTTTTTTTAAGAAAATACATTTTTCCCAAGTGATAGCTGGGTGATTTGCTTGCGCAAACTATCAGGTAACTTAAATCTTAAAATGTTTCCTTGTTTATTTAACGAAAGCTTCATATAAAGTAAATTAGGGGCTGGGCATTTTTGGAGGTAGGTCTCTTGTGGGAAATAGGTGATGTTTCAGTGCAGATATTTTAGACACCGTTTGTGTTTCTGCTTAGGGCTCCGAGATTTGTACGAAACAAATACTGTAGAAACTAAGTTTGAAAAATCTTCTAGGTTAAAGAACGTAATTTTTTTCCCGGGCAAAAGTATAGGGGTAGGTTTTTCTCCACAGTAACTGTGTTTTGGTTTGAAACATTCAAAAATCAAGCTGGAAATGGAGGCCGGTGATTGGCTAATAACATTTTGTAAACAAACCCGTTGATTGGTCTAGAACAAAATGTGCTCTTGTTGGTAAAATGGAACCCGCATCGGCGAAGGTGATATATTCCTTGATTAATCGATTTAATATTGGTCGAAAAGAGGGTATTCGACGCAAGAAAGCGCGACAAAGACTGGTATTGGAGAAACTGAAAGCATGGTGGCGAACAGTAAGAATCTCTTTTCAGCTTGTGTTGATGGCCTGTTTGCAAAACAGGGAAATAAATAGGCCAATGATCAGTAGATCATGCAAGCGTCTCCCGAGAGTTCAACGTTGCTGGAGCATTGAATCTCTTTTGATAGATTTCGATTTTCTGATAGATTTCCAAATTTTTAGAGGCTTTATTGTTGGTGAAAATAAGCTTACTCCTGTGGCTTTTATTTTTGCATATTATACCAACAAATTCGTTTACAATGTGTTCCAGCCAATTTGCTTTGCGCCCTCTTTTTCTCTTCCCTTTCTTTGAGGCAAATTCTTGTCAATCTTGTCTTGGTGCTTCCTCATCGTCTTCCTCTTCGTCAAACTCAGCGTATTCAGCTTCGACTAGGTTACGGGCTTCCTTGGGCAAGTTCTCAGGGCTTCCTTTTTTTCCCTTCAACGTCGTAGAACCTTGTTCTTTTAAAGCTCTGCCTAATTCTCGAAACTCCTCCTCGGCATCATTAAAACTCTCGTCAGACATGGTTTCTGTTTGTTCTATCAAAGTGGACAACAATTTTTCTAAATGCAGCCATTTCGATTTATCTTTTTGGCGGGTTTTGTTCAAAAACGCATGCACAATGCGCACTAATCACACAAAACCACGAGAAATCACTGTACATCATAACTGAACTCTGTGAT